AAAATGGAGTTCTACCATTTTCTTCAGAATTAGAGTAGCCTCTATAGAAAGGATCACGAGAACTCATTTCCCCACAACTATAACAATGAGACTTTCTCAACCTTCCAAGAAAAAATATTTTTTGTAATTGATTCCTAGGCTCCATTTCAGCCAATCTATCAATACAATTATCAGGTAATAATCCAGACATCCCCGGCCTAGCTAAAAAGAAGAAAGAGCCTGAAGTAGTCCCTTTTAAATTAACAATATCGGGAAGTAAAAGTTCCTCTGAAAACAATGCGTTAGTTGGGCAACGAGGTAAAGTTACCATGTGTTGTTGTGGAGGTGCTAAATTAATATTTTTATTTGCAAGTCTTAGTTATCGTAAAAGTTCAGTAAAAAATTTTATAGTAGAGTTAATATAAGCGATCAGGAAATAAACAAATATTTTCCGGAAACCTTAAGATTTTCCGGAAACATTAATATCTTCGGAAAAATTCCGTCATATCTACCGGAAACCGATTCGGACAAGTGATATGTCATTCGAAAGAGCTTATCGAGCTGAGTCGAACGACACCAAAATTAGCTTCGGGACTCACATATCGGCCGAGATATAGGTCCCCGAAAATCGAAAAACCATAGGGGGGAGTAAGCTCAATTTTGGGGTGAAAAATTCGAATATGCAAATAATAGCTCATTCGAAAGAGCTCGTCAAGCTGAGTCGAATGACACCAAAATCAACGAAATCCGACTTGATTGGACCGAGATATAGACTTCTGAAAATCAAAGATCCAAAGGGACGATTTTGGAATAAAAAATTTTTTATACAAATAATACCTCATTCGAAAGAGCTCGACGAGCTGAGTCGAATGACACCAAAATCACCGTGATTAAACAAGATTAGACAAAGTTATGACACAAAAAACAAAAAATCTAAACCTATGGAGCGTCGGCGAGGCGCTTGTGCAAAACCCCGCGCTTCGCGCGGGGTTTTGCGGCACGCGCCTCGCGGGGAGTCTACGGGCGCTGGGTCTGGGACCTATTCATAAACCTATTCCTATCTCCCTTGCTCTGGACGAATTTGGGGCTTCCGTAGCAGCAAAAATCTCCACAGATGCCATAGGTAAGGAGCTAAAATAAAAGATCATAACTTTGTCCAATCAAGTCGGATTTCGATGATTTTGGTGTCGTTCGGCTCAGCTCGACGAGCTCTTTCGAATGAGTTATTATTTGCATATTCTAATTTTTCACCCCAAAATTGAGCTTACTCCCCCCCCCCCCCCTATGGTTTTTCGTTTTTCGGGGGCCTATATATATCTCGGCCCATATGTGAGTCCCGAAGCTAATTTTGGTGTCGTTCGACTCAGTTCGGCAAGCTCTTTCAAATGACATATCACTTGTCCGAATCGGTTTCCGGTAGATATGACGGAATTTTACCATATCTTCAATAGTGAACTTTAATATTTTCCGGAATAAACTAAAATATTTATTTTCCGGAAACTTTAATAATTTCAGGAATTTTATTCAGGAATTTTTCAAATTTTTCCTGAACTTGAAAACTTAATTTTTTCCGGAACAAACATTAATAATTTCCGGAAACGTAGACTTTTCCGGTTAATAACTAATATTTTCCGGAATAAACTTTGATATTTTCCGGAAACTTAAATATATTTTCCGGAAACTTAAATATATTTTCCGGAAACTTAAATATATTTTCCGGAATAAACTTTAATGTTTTCCGGAAACTTAAATATATTTTCCGGAATAAACTTTAATGTTTTCCGGAAACTTAAATATATTTTCCGGAATAAACTTTAATGTTTTCCGGAAACTTAAATATATTTTCCGGAAACTTAAATATATTTTCCGGAAACTTAAATATATTTTCCGGAAACTTAAATATATTTTCCGGAATAAACTTTAATGTTTTCCGGAAACTTAAATATATTTTCCGGAAACTTAAATATATTTTCCGGAAACTTAAATATATTTTCCGGAAACTTAAATATATTTTCCGGAAACTTAAATATATTTTCCGGAAACTTAAATATATTTTCCGGAAACTTAAATATATTTTCCGGAATAAACTTTAATGTTTTCCGGAAACTTAAATATATTTTCCGGAAAACTTAAATATATTTTCCGGAAACTTAAATATATTTTCCGGAAACCTTAGTATTTTCCTGAACTTGAAAACTTAATTATTTTCCGGAATAAACTTTAATGTTTTCCGGAAAATCAAAACTTATTTTACTCGAATTATCATGATCTTCTTCCTCAAAGCAACTTCCAATCAACACAACAACTTCCTCCCCTACCAAAACATTGGAAAAGGAAGAAACTTCAGTTGAATATTGTCGATGGTTCGGTCCCATCCATTCAGCAGTATAATTAAAATGATTTAGCTTTAAAACAAATTTTTCAAATTAAATTTCCCTCAATTTACCCTAAATATTCGTTGTGAGAGGACTCGTTGTGTTCCCTCAATTTTCAGATCAATTATAACCATTTTATCATCATCTCCATCCATTAACCAATAAATAGCTACAAGTTCACCGAAACGGGAGCAAAGTCCAATAACTCTATAATTTGTACATTTTCCGGTTAACAAGTCTTCATAGCTGAGAAAAGGCATTCCGTTTACCTAATTTTTAAAAAATATATGATAATGTAAATTAGTCTTCTCCGGAAAAATTCAGGAATACTAGGCGATGGTTCGGGTTTAAATATGTTTAAGTTTCCGGAAAATATATAATTTCTATATAAAAATATTCCGGAAAAGAATAGTCATATTTTCCGGAAACAGTATAACCATGAATATTTTAAAATTATTCACCTTTAGTAGACAATAGTTTGGGAAAAAATATTATTTCCGGAAAACAAAGTTAAGTATAAGAAATATTTACAGAAGACTACAGAGAACTAAGTTTAAGGAGACAATATTTCCGGAAGACAAGCAACGTTTATTCTTAGACATTCCGGAAAATATAAAAGTACGTTAGAAAACTAAGTTTAAGTTTCCGGAAAATATTTAATTTATATATAAAAATATTCCGGAAAGTAAGAATAGTCTCATATTTTTCCGGAAGCAGTATAATCATAAATATTTTATATAATTCATTCACTTCCTGGTATTAAAAAATATAATTAATATAAATTAGTCTTCTCCGGAAAAATTCAGGAATACTAAGCTTCAGTAAGCTTCTAGTTCGGGAAAAAATATTATTTCCGGAAAACAAGGTTGTAAGAAATGTTTATAGAAAGCGAAGTTTTAGGAGACAATATCTCCGGAAACGAATATAAAATATTTCCGGAAGACAAGCAACGTTTATTCTTAGACATTCCGGAAAATAGAAAAGTATGTTCGAAAACTAAGTTTAAGTTTCCGGAAAATATATAATTTATATATATAAATATTCCGGAAAGTAAGAATAGTCTCATACTTTTCCGGAAGCAGTATAATCATAAATATTTTAAAATAATTCATTCACCTCTTCATTTTTCCTAATCCGCCAAATTACACGGCCATTGAAGGAAAGGAGTTTAGGCGAAATTTGCCTATCCATCCAAAAAGGGAGAAAATAATTTGTTGAAAAATTAGTGTTATATGATGACTTTAGTAGATTAAATAATTAATAAATACTAATAAAATGGACATTTTCGCCACAACAAAAAAAACAAAAATTTGACCAAATTTGATAAAAGAAAAATTAATATTAAGTAAAAATAGCTGGAAATAAGCGAATAAAACAAGTCAGAAAATGTAGACTGAAAAATTGGAAGAAAAGGGGGTAATCAATTCACGTGCGAGTAGCAGACAAGTCTGTTAGTTTTTTTAAATGGCAGACATTTCTGTTCGTTACAAACTAGATATAATTAAATTGTTAAAAGTACAAAATAATAAAAAATGGGTCTTAAAGGTTTATTTTTAAAGAAAATAGAAAGGAAGAAATTTAAAATTAAATAAAGGAACATTTTTTATTTTATTAACGTCAAAAAAATATATTTTTTTAAATTAACATATGTAAATTAAAATCCTGGAAAAATCCAATGAACCTTAAAAGATTAAACGGATTTTAAAAAGCGGAAGGCGAAAGGCGAAATTAAATTTAAAAAGTGAAACGCGAAATGTGAAAGTCCAAAAACGCGAAAATCCGCGAAAGGCGAAACTTGGCACACCCTTGATACACAGCTTTCCGGAAAATATATATTTTCCGGAATAGTAAATAATTATAAGGGAAAAAGTAAAAGTTTCAGGTTTTCGACTGTATTATTTAACAATAGGTATTATTCCGGAAAAATAAATGGAAGAATTTTAATATATTGCTATAAATTAGTGTAAACGTTCCGGAAAATATAAAGATTTCCGGAATTCCTCTAAAAATTTTTTTTTTATTTTCGTTGCCGGGGTCAACCCTGAAGACCTACACCCCCAAGACCTACACCCTGAAGACCTACACCCCCAAGACCTATTTACCCTGAAGACCTACAACTTTTTGATCAACTCAAATTATTTATAGTAGGGGATATCGAAAATATCAGAAGATCCTCTTTATCCCGATAAATCTTCTATCCACTTTAAAACCTCAAAATCCTCGATACCCCCCTTAATCCCTCCTTATCTCCGTTAAAACCTTCAAATCCATCGATATCCCCCTTAATCCCTCCTAGTTCCTCTTTACCTCCTTTAAATCCCCCGATTAGACTTGTAATGAAATAAAAAGTAAAAAATTATGTTGATCAAAAAGTTGTAGATCTTCAGGGTAAATAGGTCTTCAGGGTCAGTAGGTCTTCAGGGTGTAGGTCCTCAGGGTGTAGGTCTTGGGGGTGTAGGTCTTCAGGGGTGGACTCTCGTTGCCCCCCCCCCCTGTCTAAAGAAATGTGTTAAGGTTAAATATTTTTATTTTCCCAAAAATCTAGATTTCTTTACATAATTTTTTAAAGTTAGACACACATTAAATAACAAAACAAATAGGTATATATAATCGAAAAAAACACATGACATTTTTATATTAGTATTTTTAGAATCCGTGAATCTTACAATTTTCTTCTTTGACAATACCCACTTTACACAAAAAATCCTTTATGTGTTGCCGTTGGTCCCCTGTCTAAAAAAATATAAGAATAATAAAAAAATAAAAAAAATTCAAGTACCAATTGAATAACTTCGCCATACTCGGGATGCTCAACAATGGTACCGTTACAATTGTACTCCTTTAAATTGGGAAATTATTTAAGAAAAAATTGTATTTTTTTGGTTATTTTCCGGAAATATAAAATTAATATTATCAGAAAAAGACTCCGAAAAAAAATACTTTGCGGAAAAGTATAGTAAAACAATAAGGGCAAAATTTCCGGAAAATACAAAAATTCAGGAAAGCATTTACGGAAATATAACATATACCGGTTCGATTTTCCGGAAAATTTATTATTTTCCGGAAATATAAAATTATCATGAAAACTTTCCGGAAAAATAAAATAAGTATTAATATATTTTCCGGAAAAGTATATTTATAAATATAAAGGTAACATTTCCGGAAACATAAAATATTTATTTATTCAACTTTTCCGGAAAACATTATTCTAAAAATAACAACACTTTCCGGAAATTATTATTTTACGGAAAAAATAAAATAGGTAAGTATTACCATTTTCCGGAAGAGTATATTTAAAATAAGGGTAAATGTTCCGGAAATATATAACCGTTTTTAACTTTCCGGAAAATAAAATATTTGCATTTTCCGGATGAATAGCAAATATATTTGCATTTTCCGGAAACATAAAATATTTATTCAACTTTTCCGGAAAACATTCCTCTAAACACAAAATAAATATTTCCCTCCCTCACCTTCTTCAAGTAACGCACAATTTTCTTAAGATCATATTCCGTAGCAATTCCCTGCACAGTTGTTATTGTTTTCCTTCCCGTTCGTTGTTGAATGCGAATGTGACAGAAGCCTTGGCGCATTCCTTCCTCTTCTTCAAGTTGCTCGAAAGCATCTTAACGGGAATTTTATTTATTTTTTATTTTCAAAATTTTTTTCCTCTTTACCTTTAGGTTTGTTTAAATTTTGGATAGCTTCACTCATTTTTCTGTTGTTGTCAAAAATAAAAACAAAAAAAAATTATTTTTTTTCGTAGTTTACTGAAGCTAAAAAAAATTTTTTTAAATAAATTAATTTAAAAAATTCGAAAAATAAAAAATATAAAAATTCAAAAAATTAATGAATTTAATTTTAAAAATTAGAAAAAAATTTTTTTAATTTTATTCTTCTTCAATTTTACTCAATAAAATAATTTTTGAATGTTGCCGACTAGACGAAGTAAAATATGTATGGAATATAAGGGAATGTCTTTCAAAGCCTTTTTGCATTAAAAAAGATTCAATTTTGTAAAATATATGTTGATAGCATACAATTAAATTTGTTAAATATAATTTTTTTGAAAACCAATTTTTATTTAACCAAGGGATTGGAGAAGAATGGAATTGTTCAGATTCATCTGTTGTATTCTGAAAAAAGAAAAAATAAATTTTCTCTATCCGGAAAATACTTTCCAGAAAATACTTCAGACAAAAATAAAAGTGTAGTTCAGGTTCCGAAAAATACAAGAATAAATAAACACTCCGGAAAATACATAAACAAATCCGGAAAATAAATATAATTTCCCGGAAATACATACAGTCGTGGAAAAAAGTATGGAAGCGCTAGAAAATTTTTTCTTAATTCTTAATTTTTCATTCAAAAAATACGTTCTATATAGCAATCGAAAGCTCTATTCGTATCTCAGTTGACATGTTTCTACATTTTTCATGAAAATGAAAATTGGCCGAGATAATCCGGATCTACCGGATATACCAAATCCCACTTTTTCGGAAAAATTTTCCGGAACAAATTTAACAAACCCAAATGATAAAGCATATTTTTCTGAGTATTTTCCACAAAACCGCTTAGAAATATCTTTTTCCGGAGCAGAGATATGATTTTTTGAAAATTGCATTTTTCGCTTAAAAATTGAATTTTTTGCAAAAATAGACGAAAAATGCAATATTCAAAAAATCATATCTCTGCTCCGAAAAAAGATATTTCTAAGCGGTTTTGTGGAAAATAATCAGAAAAATATGCTTTATCATTTGGGTTTGTTAAATTTGTTCCGGAAAATTTTTCCGAAAAAGTGGGATTTGGTATATCCGATAGATCCGGATTATCTCGGCCAATTTTCATTTTCATAAAAAATGTAGAAACATGTCAACTGAGATACGAATAGAGCTTTCGATTGCTATATAGAACGTATTTTTTGAATGAAAAATTAAGAATTAAGAAAAAATTTTCTAGCGCTTCCATACTTTTTTCCACGACTGTATATAAAATTGTTCCGAAAAATATTGCAAACAAAAATAAAAGTGTAAGCAATTCCGGAAAATACAAAAATAAATATTCGTTCCGGAAAAATAAATAAACAATTCCGGAAAGTAATTAAATTTTCCGGAAATAGATAAATTTGTTCCGGAAAAAACAGGTGAAATACAATTCCGGAAAATACAAAATAAATTCTTTCCGGAAAAATAAATAAATAATTTTCCGGAAAAATAAATAAACAACTCCGGAATAAATAGATAAAATTGTTCCGAAAAAATAAATTCTTTTGAAAAGCAAATAAACACTTTACAGAAATAAATTAAAATTATTTTTTCCGTAAATTAATTTATTCCTCCAGGAAATAAATTAAACATTCCGGAAGAAACTAAAATAAATCCAAAACATAATAAATTAGGTAAAAATCAAAATTTACATTAATTCCACAATCAAGCATAGTAATAGACACATTTTGGGCATAAGGATGAAGACCAGCATACATTGGCATTGAAAAACAAGGCCTTGGAAAAAGAGGAAAAATTAATTTTTTTTAAAGATTTTTTTTGTTTTTCTTCTCAAAAATTTTAGAAAAGAATTTTGAAAAGAAAATTTTTTTTGAAAAAATTTTTTTCGAAAAATTTTTTTGAAAGCTAAAAAAATTTTTGAAAAATTTTGAAAATTAAAAAAATTTTTTTGAAAAAAATTTCTCAAAAAAACTAAAAATAGTATATACATTAATTGTAACACATAAATTGTACTGCTATTGTCCTTTTGTAATTTTTCATCAACATATTGAACAATTTTATTATTTGCTACATAAGGACCTCGTTGATGAATGAGACCTTTAAAAAAATTTTTTTTAATTCAAAATTTAAAATTTACCAAAATAAATTATAGCCAATAAATTTGAACCAATAATTAAATTTATAAGCCACTTTTTAAAAAATTCATTTTTATAAGAATTTATTTCAACAGCAATGTAAGGGAGAAGAATTGGAATTATTGGCAAAACTGAAAAGAATTAAGAAAATAAAATTAAAAAAATTTTTTTAAAAAAAGCTCCAGCCTAAAAGTCTTAAAATAAAACCTAAAAGGAAAGTGGGGGAAACGTTCCAAGTTTTGATTCCAGAAGTTAGAAGTTTTAGTCAAGAATTTGTGTTAAGGGAAATTCGATCTGTCCTAGTCTAGTACTAGATCAAGCGGGCGACCGATATTCATCACCCCTCACAAGCTCTCAGCTCTTCTGTGACTCCTACCTTTCCTAAATAGGACTGTGTTCCAATAGTTAGAAGTTTATTGTAAGTCAAGGACAGTTAAGTCAAGGGAAGTCCGTTGTGTTCGAGTAAGTCAATTACTCGATCAAGCGGTCTACCTATATTCATCACCCCCCCCTAACTCTCAGCTCTTCTGGAACCCATCCTTTTCTTAAATAGGACCCAGTTTTTTAACTATAATTTAATTTAAAAATTAACCAAATCGATGTTCTTTATGAGCAATTAGCGAAAGACTGAAAATGTACAAACCAGCACATAATATATATCTAAAAATTAATAAATTAAAAAAGGAAGAAATTTTTTTGGATTATTTAATGATCAGAAAATGACAAAAATGATCGGAAAATCCAAAAAAAAATTATGTGAAAAGGAAAACAAATGAAGAAAATATCAGAAAATTCAAAAAAACATTTTTTTACTTAAACACGTCAAACGTTTTGGGTCTGATCCTAAAAGCTTGGCTCCAGATCTGGAGCAAAGAATTTAAAAAGAGGTCCCAATCGGAGACATAAAACGCTCAATACCCAGGACTAATCATACATAAAACTGAAGAGAAATTTTGAACAAATTTTTAATAAAAACAAAATTTAAAAAAACCTTCTATCCAATCGAACATCAACATAAAAACGAGATCTAATTAATTTAACCAAAATTGTAAATAACGGAATTGAAGCAAATAACAAAATTGAAGGCAATCCTTGAGTAAAATACCAATGCCAAGGATGTGAACCAAATAAAGCATTTCCACTTTTGAGTATATTAAAATGAAAAAAATTGAAAAATGTAGAAGTTGGACGTCCATAGTAAAATGAATCAAGAATAAAAGTGAACAATGGAATGATGATAACAAAAGGAGAATAACTGGAAAATTTAAAGAAGAAAATTAGAAAATTTTAAATTTAATTTGAAGAAGAAAAAAAAAGTTTAAAAAAAGTTTAAAAAAAGTCAAAAGCAAAAAAAAATCAAAAGCAAAACTGGACAGGAATCGAACCTGCAACACACCTATTGGGTAGTTTTATTTCGTTATGTAGCTTTTATTTGCTAATGTAATTGAAGCAAATAAAAAAGGATAGCTAAAAAATCGAAAAAATTTTTGATTATCGCCGATAACGTTTATGCAAATGCCCTTTGAGAGAAATCGGGTCAAGGCGGGATAGGTTTTCGAAGTTTCTTAAATCGCCTTTTCTGAGTTCGGGGGAAAACAAAAAATGGGACTCGGGAAATCCGTCCCATACCTGCTATGGACGTTAAATCTTCTTTTATTTTATAGACCCCACCCGCTTAAACATCCGTCTTAAATGCCTAGTTCCTTACAATCAAAGAATAGGGGCCCGGGAAACCTATACCTGCTAACTTGTTATAGGACGTTGAATCTTCCTTTATTTTAATAAACCCACCCAACCCGCCTAAATATCGTTTTAAATGCCTAGTCCTACAAAGAAAAGAATATTTTATATTTAAAAACAAACCTCAAAATATATTTTTCCATCCTTTCTGTAACAATTTCCTGATTTATTACATCAAGTCCTTCCAATAAATAAAAAACAAAATGGCCATAACAAAGAGGTATCCATAATAACCAAGTTGTTGGCCTTATAACTGCAGCTATTGACACAATAATTAAACAAATACAAAAAGAATCAATTTTTAGAATTGAAAATTTTGCCAAATTTTCTTCTTCAGAATCATCATTTTTCTTCGTTTCTACATAATTTGCATCGTTTTTAGTGTAAAAATTTAGTGCAATTAGCATTAAACAACATTCTAAAGTATTTGATAAAGTTCTTGTTGAGCAATAAACAATAAACCAATTTGTAAAATATAGTGGAAGGAGAATATACAAGGCTAGAAAAAAATTAATTTAGAATTTGAATAAAAATTTTAATTAAAAAAAATTATTTTCCTTACAATCCAATAGACGTTCGAGATCAAAAAATTTATAGGACTCAAGACCGAAAAAAACCTAAAAAAAAGTCTTGGAATCACGACTCAAGGCGAGAGTCTCGGACGTTTCTACAATCCAACATCTAATGTAAGTAAAGCCGCCCAAACCCAATCTCAGAAAAATGGAAAGTAAGATTGGATGAGGATAACATATAGGTAGGTTTCCTATGCAAGGTTTGCTAGACAGTGCTGACAAAGGAAAACTATTCGCACTTTAGTTTACCTAAACTAAAAATTCTGATCCAACATCTAATTAAGCGGCCCTTATTATATAATTTTTATTTAAAAATTTTTGGTCACAGTCCAAGTAGTTCCCCTGTGAGTATGGCCACGGGAGCTGGCTCCGGCGGAATCATTTTTTCAAATTCAAATTAATTATAAAATAAAATTGTCAAACTAACCATCAAAAGAAAATCCAATAACAGATTTTGCCCAATTAATAAAACAAATATCAGCAATTGCAAACAAAAAAGCATGAATAATATTAGGTATCCATCTAATAATGAAGCCAAAATCAAGCGAAAATAATTTTAACAACCAAAAAGGAAAAGCATAAATTAAAGGGTGAAGAGGAGAACGAAGTGCCCATTCAGGTAACCCTTTAAAAAAATAAATTTTTTTTAATTTTAAAATTAAAAAGACAAACATTCCCAAGATAAATGTCCTTTTCCATAGACTATATGATAAGCAACCTCAACACTCTAAAATATATTTAATAATTTAAATTTGTTCTGAATTGTAAAATAAAAATCAGAATTTGTATTAAAGCAAGTTATCCTTTTATAAATTAAAACTTGTTCAGTAAAAATTCTGTTTTTTTAAAAATCAGAATAAAATTCAACCAAAACATGTTCAGAATTAGCATAAAGATTAAACAAACAAAACATGTTCGAAAGAAATTCTGATTTTTAAAAATCAGAATAAAATTTAAACATGTTCGTTACAAATTCTGGTTTTAAGAATTACACTTAAATTACAATAACAATCAAAACATGTTCGTTATAAATTCTGATTGCCAATCAGAATATAATTTAAACAGACAAAGCTTGTTTGCTAATTGTACGAATTCTGATTTTAAAATCAACATGAAAATTAAACAGACAAATGTTCATTTAAAATTCTGATTTTAAGAATCATAATTAAATTACATAAAACATGTTCGTTATAAATTCTGATTTTAAAATCAGAATAAAAACTAAACAAACAAGTGTTCATTTAAAATTCTGATTTGTAAAAATTAAATAAAAAACCTGAAAATACTCATCAGGAACAAACCAAGTATTAGAGAAAAAACAACAACACAAACGAAAGGCTAAAACATGGTAAAAACGTTGTCTGTAAAAATTCATGTCATTGAAAAATAAATTTAAAAAATAATTTTAAAAAATAAAAATAAATTAAATATTTAAAAATTAATTTCAATTTAATTTCAAAAAAAAATAAAAAATTAAATTTTTCTTTTTTTTAATTTTTATTCAATATCAAAAAAAATACATGGTATTCAAAATAAAATAAGAAAAAATTTTTTTAAAGTAAATAATATAATTTTTAAAACCATGAAAAATAATATTTAAGATTTATATATAATATTTTTAGGTAGTCGGACCTCAATTATGTTTATGACAAAAATGGGAAAAAAAAACACCCAAATCCATATTTAAACTTTTTCCGATCCGAAACCCAAATCGAAAAGAAAAATTTTTTTTGAAAACCCCAACCGATTTTTATTTGACAATTAACACATCCTCGTATAAGTCCTTGGATGCTGAACAAATCGTTAACTCAATATGAGGCAAGGGAGCAGCCAAGGGAGCTTCTGGGACAAAAAGCTCTTCTAAGGCAAAAAGCAGCCCAATTTTTAGCCCCCCCCTCCATAAAATCGACTCCCTGGCTAAGCCCTTAATGAGGGATGGGTATAGTAGTGAAATCGACAGATCCCCAGTTAATGGCCAGCCAAGTTAAAAACTCACACCCTAAAGGAATTATGCACAAATTTACAGGGGAAACATAAATGAGGTCGATTGGTATATTTTGATATAATTGTCTGAATTTCGGTTGCTTTATATATTTTTTTTTATTTTTAAACAACCCGCTTTTAAAAAAAATTTTTTTTGTGACACTTAATAGTAAATAAAATAATAAGGAAAGCGACAAAAATTTTCCAAGTTCATTGTCAAAATAATTATTTCAAAAAAGAAATAAAAATAAAATTTTGTGGGTATAATTTTGCAGAATTTTGGGGTTAAAGAAATCTAACTTTAAGGAAACAACAAAAAAAAAAATTTTTTCAAAAATTATGTCGCATCCTTATTATATTTTTATAAAAAAAATATCTGGGGAATTTTAATTGTTTTTTTGACTTTAAAAAATAAAATGTAACAAACTTTTTTTTTCTCAAAGTCAATTGAAGAAAAGTCTCTTCCTTCCTTCAACACAAAAACATCTCCAACTCTTTTTCTCATCAAGCATTTTCATAAACAAGAAATTTACGCATTTGAATGTTTAGAGGAAGTGATTGAATTAATTCAATAAATTTCGCATGAAAATTAGCAAGTTGTTCAGTCCGTTCTTTAACTTTGGTTTCATTAAACTGAAAAAATTAAACAAAAAAAATTTTTATTGAAGGAAGCTTTAAAAATTTTTCAAAAAAATTTTTTTGAAAATCTTGGAGTCAGTAAGGCTCAAAAAATAATTTTTTTAAGGTCCTGGAGTCAGTAAGGCTCAAGAAAATTTTTTTTCAAAGAATCACTTTCGGTAGCAGACCAACGAACCACAAGGTAAATGTACAAATATATCCCTCGAATATATGAGAGCGGGGAGGGGGGGGGCAGAAATAAAAAAAAGTACCCTTTTTTGGAATCTTGGACTCATAAACTACTAAAAAAATTTTCCCCAATTCACCAAAAAATTAAAAAAAATTTTTATTCCCCTCAATTTTTACCTTAGCCTCAGCCACATTCTCCTCTTCTTCTCGAGTTGTATTATTAGAAATAGGAGCCTGTTTCTTGTGTAAATAAGGAGCCGGCCTTTGATGTAAATATTGAGTCGGCCAACTTGTTGAAGGCCCAGCTACACCTCCATGTTCTCCTTCTTCTTGTTGTTGGTCTTCAATGTAGCTTAATACACGTTTCATTTTGCTAAAAATTTTTTTATATTAAAAAAATTTTTTTTTATTTTTAAACACATTCCGAGAAAAACAGTTTTGATTAAAACTCTTTTAAAAAAAGAAAAAAAATTTTTTTTTCTCCATAAAATCTTCTTCTTTCAATCTTCGCGGTAATAGTTTGGAAGTCGCCCTCCCCCTCATTTTTCTCTCTATTTTTTTCCCTTTTTATTGCAAATTATATAAATCATTCGGTCTTGAAGTCAGTAAGAGCTGATAATAAGCTGATAATGACATTAAAATCAACAAAATCTGATTTAAATGAAATTTAGCGCTCATAGAGCTCTTTCGAATAAAATATGATCAATTATATATCAAACAAAAAAAGCTAAAAATGGTCAGGGAATCGAAAAAAATAAGGCGTCTTACAAACTATTACCCAACCTTTTCTACAAATTTTGGAAAAAAATTTACTTTTTTTTTCTATTTGAAGAAAATCAATTAAAACTGTACTTATTAGAAAGTAAAAAAAAATTTAAAAAATTATTTAAATTATCTAAAAAAAATTTTTATTTACCTTGATTGCGGCATTTCCAATGAATTAGATGTACATGTACGCAAACGTTTATTATTACAATTTCCATTTTTAATAGGACTTGAATTCATAGAATTATTCAACTTTTCTTTGTCTTCTTCCAATTTTTCTTCATCATTTTCCATTTCATTATCATCATCCTCTTCAATTTTATTCTTCTCATTGCCACTATTTTTACACATTTTTGATAAACAGTAGCGTCTATAATCCTCTTTTCTACCAACATCTTCTTCTATTTTATCCTCCTCATTATCGTCACTCATTTTCGATAAGCAGTAGCGTCTATAAGTTTCTTCCCAACCATCGTCTTCTTCAGTAACTTCTTCTTTAAATTTATCCTCCTCATCATCGTCACTATGAGGGAAGCGGTAACCTCTGGAAGACTCCTCCCAACCATCTTCTTTATTAAGTTCCTCTTCAATTTTATCCTCCCCATCCTTATCGTCACTATTTTTACTCATTTTTGATGCATAGCGTTTGAAAGCTTCAAAATTTTTGTCTTTAATCATGATTATATCCTTAGCCGTTTCAAAAGATTCATTACTATTATCACCATCTTCCTCATTTTTTTCTCCCTCAACCTCTTCCTTTTCTCCCTCCTCTTCTTTTTCTTCCTCCTCCTCATTTTGCTTCCCTTCCCCATCCTCTTTTTCTTCCTCGTCCTTTTCTTCTTCTTCCTTTTCATTTTTTTCTCCCTCCTCATCTTCTTTTTCCTCTTCCTCCTCATCATCTGAAGATAATTCAAGCCCAAGTCGTGCCAATTTATTTTTACACTTTTTCGATTTTGTTTTTGCCTTCTTTTTTGGTGTTGTTGTTGTCATTTTTGCTGTTTTATACGAATCATCATTCTTATCATTATTTAAATTAACATAACTTTCAGAAGAAGATAACGAACCAACATTATTTTTATCTGACCAACTATCAGCATCATCACTATTTACAGCTTCATTGTTCTCATCATCTTCATTGTCTGTTCGATCTACATTCTCATAATTTTCAATACTATCATTATCATTTTCAACATTTTCCTCTTCTTCCTCCTCCCCTTCTTCTTCTTCTTCTTCATGTTCATCATCATCCTCATTATTAACCTCATCTTCAGATTCAAATACAAAATTCTAAAAAAAAAAAGATTTTTTTTTCTTAAGAAAAACTATAGGCGCGGGACAAAAAAATTATTTCTATATTATTAGAAAAACTTATAGTTAATGACAAAATAAAAAAAATACCTTCCTAGCTATTACCAAAAAAATTTTTTTAATAAAGATTTTAACATCGTATAGAGCATGGTCGATAACTTTGAAGCCCTGTAACTTTTCAAAATGGGAGGCAAAGCCAAAAAAAGCAAAAAAAATTTGGTAATAGTCTATCGATTATACAATAAAGTTGGCGGATCCGGATCCAAAAAAGGCCGGATATCCAGAAATTTTCGGTTTGGATACCGGATCCAAAGATTTCCAACTACTCCCCCCAACCTTATTATACAATAGTATAATTTTTCTTTCAAAAAAATTTTTTAAGTCATAGCTCGAAAAGTTTCCTCACGAAAAGTAACCAATCTATTCTACAAGTAAAGTAAGTCCAAGTAAGTTCCCCCTATATTTTTTAGTCAGTCCCATAAAATAAAAAAGAAACAAACTCTTACAAAAGCTTCATCATCAGGTCCCGAATAAAAACGCTGTTGCCGTTCATTGCCACGTAATTCAATTTCAAGCTGCTCATTTTCAACATCATCATTTTCATCATCATTATCAGAATCATTAGCATTATTAATTATATGTACATCTCTTCTAGCAGCACGATGATGAGCAATAGCTTCATGATGACGTCGAATGCGATCACGTGCAAATAAAGCAAAAAGATGACGAAATTGTGTAGCGTGAGTATGGCGAAGATTTGCAAGCATTTGGCGGTGGTTGTTGTTGTGTCTTCCATTATTATTAGCTGCTCTATTATTATTGTCAGGATCACCATGAGTGTTGGTACCTTTAAAAAAATTTTTTTGTATTAACAAGAAAATTAGCGAATTAGAAGCTGAGGAAACCCGAAAAACTGAATCAATTCCGAACCAAAAATTTCCGAATACTCGGGGGTTTTCGGTTACATACTACCAGTCTTACAAGGAGAGGTTGCGAGGTCGAGACCGGGCTCATTCGAGAAAGAAGACTAAGGGCCATTCTCCTTGGTAGAAAGGGCAAATTCTCTATCGAATGAGCCCGGTCTCGACCGTTTTTAGGTCGGACACCTCGGAACCTCTCCTTGTTAGCAGGGAAAGTGTCATAGAAAAATTGATAGATATCTAGTCACAATACGGTCTCTCTAATTAATATTCTCATTCAAGTTTTTATTTTTTACCAACAGTAAAAAAACAAAAAAAAACTTACCAACAGAAGTAAAACGAGTTCTTAAAGGCAAAGGTTGAGGCAAATGTGGATCTAAGACCATAGGCCTAGGAGGAAAAAGATCGTCCCTTGAAGGATTCCATTGATTTCTTCCGTCATCATCATGCTGAACACTAGAAGCTTTTTTGGCATGTTTTTTGGCATAAAGTGAAAAAATTTCAACTGGTTTATCAACAAGAAGTTTTTGGCGAATTAATTGTCGAATTCTGAAAAGAAAAAAAATTTTTTATAAAGTTAATTTTAAATTTCAATAGCGATTCGCTAACAAAAATTCTAAATAACTTTAAAAAATTTCAGATTATTTTTTTAGCTTGGTCCCACAATGGGTTTTCGTTTTTTTAGTTTCTGAAACGATTTTGAAATCATTTTTGACCTCAAAACCTGCTTGGTCCCACCATGGTTTTTTGAATTTTACAAGTTTGTAACTCGGTTCCTGATTCAGAGAGACATGACAGCGACCTGATTGATGTGAGTTGAGTCCGATTGTAGGATCAACTCAGTTTTTGAAGCTCTCCTTCGAGTGGCATATCCCCTTTGCAAGGATCAGCTCCCTCTCTTCCCCTCCTGGCTACGCCCTTGATCCTTTGTCAAATTGGACCAGAACAAAGAGAAACTGCTATAAGAAGTCACAATTTCCCGTTTTGTGTTTTAATTTGCTATATAAGTCACAATTCCCCGTTTTGTGTTTTTAATTTGAAATTCTAATAAAAAATAAACAAACTTGTTTCTACACAAAAATTGTAATGAAGTAGGTTGAATTAGTGGAAGCGAAACATGTCCATTTGAAAGAGAATTGTCATCAATATTTACAGGAATTAAATGAGAAAACGTAACTGCACTTAGGTCACGAGTTTTAAACAATTTTTCTGATTTACGAATAACACGTTGAAGCTAGAAATAGAAAAAAAATTTTAAAATTAATTTTGCTTCTCTCCCGCCTTCTTGTTGGATACACGCTTGAAACCAGATGTGTCACAAGTTATCCGGAAACTCGGACTTTTATCGACCCGATACCCGATCCACGAAATTTTGTTCCAAAACCCACACAAATTTTTTCAATTTTAACACACTAATTGGCCAGACACAAAACGCGAACACCAAAAAATTTTCTGAGAACACGACCCAATTTTAATTAGTGTTCAATTTTACGAGGCGGGGGTTGATCGTACGGAGAACGGGATTTGCGGGGAATTCGGGTTCGGAGAACGGGCCTCCCGCAAGCTTTTCCCATGGAATTCCCCGGGGAATCTTGAAAAAGATTAAAGTACACTTAAATCCAAATAAAATTCTCCAGGGAATTCCCTTCCCCAAGGACAGGGGTTGAACCCTATTTTTTACCAGTCATGTGCACATCCTATTCCTACCTAATTCTTTATTAGCAATAAAAATTCAAAAAAATTTTAAAAAACCGAATGTCCATACGGCATAACTAGAATTCCCTCCTCTTTTAAAAATGAGCAAAAATAAGCACGGTGAGATTCTGGGACTAGAGCACCACAATAAATTCTGTCATATTTATTAGTATTTTGTTCAAGTTGAAAAGCATTTCCAACAAAATAAGTAGGGGAACACCTAGGAATTAAAAAAGGTGAAAACCATGAAAGACAAAACACCGTCCAGACATTAAAGTAAAAACCTCGTCAATTTTTACAGATATTATAAATTCGACAGAGATCGGCCAATATCTGGATCCATAACTTGATCTTTCCCAAAATCTAGAGTTAAGATTAAGACATTTTTTAGTGTTTCCTGATTTTTCCTTAAGGTAAACGATTTGGTCAAGGTCCTCGACCAAAATCAAGAACAAAGGTTTTTTTAAAATTTTCAATTCTAGGATTCAATTTGTTTCGATATTATGCTTTTTTAACATTTTAGACTTCACGACTATTTGGTTCTTTTAGATATGAAACTAGAACTCTTATGCCTGAAAATTTTCTTTTAAACGTTATCTAAAGCGAAATGGATGATATTTTTAATAATCTTAACTCGAGATCCTGGAAAAGATCAAGTTTTGTATGGACAGTGTTTTATCCTTACACGTACCATTCAAAAGCACAGGCTTCAGGAGATGATTGAAACAAAGAAATGCGTTCAGCTGCATAATCGGCAACATTTCCTAGAAGCAAATTAATTAAATTTTGAATTAAAATTATTTAAAAATACCATAAAGTTCAACTCCGTGATTGATTCCATTTTCTTCTAAAAAATATAAAAAAATGCCAGAAAATACTAAAAAACCTAAAAAGAAGCCTGCCATAGTGCTGAGGTAACCCGTTCCTGATCCAATATTGAGAAAAGACTGTCCTTTTTGTAAATCAAGATGTTCGAGGACCTGAAGAAAATTGATTGATTTTTAATCTTCAACGGAAATTTTGAAATTAAAACGGAAATCATAGAGGATTTTTGAAAAGCCTGGGCCCGTTCATAGGTTCCGAGTTTGATTTATTGGCCTAGGCCGGATCCCAAGCCTGTAGTCCACAGGAAAAAACCAGCAAGGTAAAAAAATGCCTGGGCCTGAACCCTGGGTACAAGAAAAACCCAGGCCTTGGTCCGGATCAGCTCGATCTCCATTCGGTATAAGTTATAAAAACCCATAAAATCATCCAAATTTAAATTAAGCTTTTCTAATACAAGAGCCCGGATACCCCAAAAATATATTTACAACAAAAATACATTTGCATAAATACACGGAGCAGAAATATGTAAAAATCCAGGCAATCCCAAATCTGATTTCCAAGCAGAATCTTTATAAGCATTTTCCTCCACAGCATTTTCTGGCATAAATTTGCCTCGATCAACAAGTCTACAAACAAAATTCGTTATTTTTCTGATAAAATCTAAAGAAAACCTCATTATCCGCTCAACCCGTTCATTTTTAATTGAATCATGTTTAACCAAATTGTCAACTAATTCATCATTGTTTTTGCCTACACTAGCGACTAGACCCATTAGAAATTGGGAAAAAATATCTGGAATAAGAAAAAGTTGAACAAGATAAATTGAAAAAGGAAGAAAAATCACAGGCCTAACCTCGTGCTAAAAAAATAGTTTTTTTGTTTTTTATTACCGTAGAGGATAAAATGTCATTTAAATTAAACAGAACGCCAAGAATAAGAAAAAAATTTTTAAGGGATTTTTAAAAGGAGTTTACTGTGACTGTGAATCTGATATCTTTATTGGTACCATTCGATAGCCTTAGGTCATTAATAGAGCCCGGCACGAGACGTGACCCCGCACGGGACCCCGTACGGGATTTTACGGGATCCCGTCCCGGAATCCCGGGTATTTAGCGACAAACGGGATTACCGGGATTTACGGGATTAATCCCGCGGGATCCCGTCCCGTACAAGATTTTGAAAGAAATCCCGTTACGGGATCCAGGGAATGCGATTTTGCCGACCTCTAGTCATTAACTCCCTCAAGATGATTTTTTCTAATTTCAGGAAGCCTTTAAAAAAGATTTTTTCTAAATGAAAGATATTCAGAAACAATGCGTAATTTGCAGAACAAACAAAGCTTGGAGGATAAAGATGAGGGGAGCTGAGAATAAATGTGGACACATTGTTTGTGTTAAATGCATGTTACTACACGTTCAGGTAAACTTCCCTTAAAGACCCTCCAAAATCCCCCAAAAATTTCAGAAATGGATCAAAAAAGACAAGCCTCGTATTAAATGTCCAATGGAGAATTGCCGTGAAAGGGTGCATGAGAATGACATTGCTGCTGTTCTAAATCCAGATTGTGAAGCTTTGGACCCCTTTATGGATTCTAAAATGAGAAGAAAGCTTGCGGAAAGGCATGATGTGAGCGTTATCAAGTACGCATTGGGTGAGAGAAGTAGATGCTGTCCACGTTGTGAGGTGAGGGAAAATTTTTTAAAAATATTTGACACGTAAGGGGTTCGAACCTTCACCCTCTAAATCTAACAACATCCCACTTAACCACAAATGGTGAATGGCCCGCGATGGATTCGAACTTTAGACCCCTAAATTTTTACAGCATCCCACTTAACCACAAATGCTTATTTTTTTGAAGAGCTTAGATTCTACCCACGTTGTAAGGTGAGAGAATTTCGCAAAAAAAATTTTTTGACCCGCTCGGTGTTCGAACCTTCACCCCTTAAATCTAAACAACATCCCACTTAACCACAAAATACTTTTTTTTGAAGGGCGTGGGTTTTACCCACGTTGTGAGGTGGGAGAATTTTGGAAAAAGTATTTGATCCGCTATGGGCTCGAACCTTCACCCCCTTAAATCTAACAATATCCCACTTAACCACAAAAAGTTTTCAGAATTTGTACGGTCAAAAAGTCGGTTGTAATTATGTTCGTTGTGCAAATTTGTATTGTAATACTTGGTTCTGTTGGATTTGTGGAAAAGAGGATGTTAATTGGGCCCATTTTACTGGTACAAACTTGATTTTTATTTTAAAAATTTTTCCCACAAAATTCAGGATTAAAATGCAAACTTCGAGTTGAGGATATACTCAAAGCACTCTACATTGTTTCATTTACAATATTCACAAGTGGACTAATTCTTACTTATTTTATGCCGGCTGTTGCTTTGGGATTGTTTGTGAGTCAAAAAAATTTTTTTGGAAAATTCAAAAAAAAATTTTTAATTAAAAAAAATTTTCTTTGAAAAATTCAAAAAAATTTTTTTTTAATTTTCCAGATAATCGCTCCAATTTGTGTTACTCTTGGAACACCCTACTTTATTTTGAAATGGCTTGAAAATATTTGGAGAAGACTTTCTACAACAAGACTTGAAATTTGGCAGCTTATAATTTACTGGATTATAGTAAATTTATTTTTAAAAATTAAAAAAAAATTTTTTTAGTACTTAATTCTATACGTTGTATTTCTTCCATGTGGTATTTTTGCTGCAATTTTATCTCTTAGTCTTTCTACTATTGCTTTTACTTTTTATTTTACTATGATGCTTGTAAAGGCTGTTCCTTTCCTAGGACAGGTAAATAAAAATAAAATTGTAAAACTTTTTTACAAATTGTAAATTTATTCATTTCAAGTTTGTTTACAGTGAAATTAAGTTCCTTTTATTTTTACAATTTGTAAAACTTTGTTTTTACAATTTCAAGTTTATTTATTCATAAACTTTTTTTATTTTACAAATTGTAATTATTCAAGTTTATTTATTCAGAAACTTTTTTTTATTTTATAAATTGTAATTATTCAAGTTTATTTATTCAGAAACTTTTTTTTATTTTATAAATTGTAAAACTTACTTTTACAAATTGTAATCCAAGTTAATTTATGCATAAACTAAGGTATTTATTTTTACAATTTGTAAAACTTACTTTTACAATTTGTAATTAAAGTTTATTTATACGGGAATTAAAACTTAACCATTTGTAAAACATTTTTACAATTTGTAATTTTTCAAGTTTAATTTTTACAGTTTGTAAAACCTTTTACAATTTGTAATTAAAGTTTATTTATACAGAAATCAAGTTCTTTTTACTTTTTTACAATTTGTAATTACAAATTGTAATCTTCTATTTTTTTCAAGTTTATTTTATAAACGTTAGGTCCTTTTTATTTTTACAATTTGTAAAATTTAAAGTTTAATCTTTAAATATTAAACAGATAATGTGGTTACTCGAAGTAACAAATTACATTAGCGGATGTTTTGGTTTTGGTGGTTGGTTAGAGTGGTATAAACATTCAAGAGAGAAAAAGGATCGTCAACAACGTGCACAAATGCAATTCAGGGCAGAACGAAGTGAAAGAATGGCAAATCCGTTGGTTGGAAGGTAGAGGGGATTTTTGGAGGATTTTGAAGGATTTTTGAGGATTTTTCAAATTTTTTTTGTTTTTCAATATCTTCTTCTCTTTACCCTATTTTTCCTTTATTTTACTCCTTTTTTTCGTTTCAATTTAATTTACTTTTTTTTTCCCTTTTATAAAATTACAGATACTTCAGTAATATATACAAAAAAATTTTAAATAATTTGTAAAACAAAAAAATATTGTATAAATTGCAATTTGAAAAATTTAAAGTGTCTATTTATTCCCGCCTGTTCAGTTGTAGAGAAGATATTGTTTTAAAGGTGGAGGAACGTTCAATTCGGATACTCGCCCCAATCCGTTGGTGCCTAGAGCGAGACGTATCCTTCTACGACAAATATCCATTAGTTGTCTGGGTTCAGCTTTAAATTATACATAATTAAAAAATAGGCTTTTTATAAAATTGAACTTAAATTTAGTTATAGTTGTTTTAAGGTTATTTACTAAAATTGTAAACTTAAAGTTTTGTAATTTGAGGTTTTATTTTCAAGTTGAAACTTAAAATACTCATATTTTACAAATGGTAAATTTCAAGTTTATTAAAGTTTAATGTTAAGTTTAAAGTTTTTACAAATTGTAAAACTTGAAATTTACAATTTTGTAAACCTACACTAGTTAAAACTTAATTTTTACAATTTGTAAAAACTTTGCGTTAGATTTAAATAAACTTGAAATTTACAATTTGTAAAATATGAACGTTTTAAGTCTGAACTTAAAAATAAATCTCAAACTTTTTACAATTTGTAAAACTTTATTTATTCGCAAACTTAACTAAAAACTCAACTTTCTTTTTTTATTTTTTTTCTAAAAAATAATTAGTATCTCACGATCAAGTCCTCCAATATATCGAATTGTAACTTCACAATGTCCCCACACAGCGCTAACTGCTGGGTATAACTTTTTTCCCTTTAATCCACAAAATGCAGTTCCTAAAAATGATGTATCTGTAGCGAAAGACATTTTGCCTTCATCCATATCCAAAATACAATAAATTTTTTCTGGTGTTTGGAATGAGGTAATTTGTTGCTGGTCACGTTGACCGTTGGATATTTGAAGTGGTTGCATTGGATAAACCCATCCTTTTGTGTTAGCTGAATCGTGGTAGCATTTATTATCAACTGAAAAAATTTGGAAATATCAGGGGAAAGACTTGAAAAAAATTCCCACCAATATTCCAACCATAACCCTCTTCATCATTCCCAATAAGTGAGGAATACCCGGCAACACGTAAAGAAGCCTTTTTGGTTACTACCCCTATTGCTGCGTGTGTTCCTCTTTGATGGACGGGCCAAATTATTTGCCAGACGTGAAAACCACGGGAGAATCCAATCTAAAAATTGTTAAAGTATTTGTTTTTGTTTAAATGCTAATATTTTTACAAATTGTAATTTGATTAGAGTAAAATTGTAATCGCAATTATTATTGTAAAAGTTAACAGAAAATAAACTTGGATTTTTACAAATTGTAAAAACCCAAGTTTATTCAATTGCAACATTAATTAATAGGAACTATTGTAATTTCCAACTTATTTTACAAATTGTAAAAAGTTTATTTTTTAAATTGTAAAATTATTGTAAAAATTAATAAAAAATAAACTTTATTTTTTACAAATTGTAAAAAGTTTATTTTTTAATTGTAAACACTGTTGGTGTAAAACTTAAGATTGCACTTTTAATTTAAATTCAAGTTTAATTACTCGTTTATTTATTTGTAGAAATCTTAAGTTTGCAAACTTAAGAATTTTTATTAAAATTTCAATTGTACTTTAATTATATTAATATGCAATTATTGTAAAAATTAAAAAATAATTTTTATTTTTTAAATTACAATTTCCTATCATTCAAAATTTTCACTAATATCAGAAACCCACTTTTGCCCTAATAGCATCAGAACTTTGAGCAACCGGATGTCTATGCATTGTTAATTTATCATCAGGCTTCACATAAACATTGACTGAATGATCTTCTGAATTCCAGGCGTATTTTTCTGCCTCTTCCAAAGGCAGTTCAGGCATTTGAAGAATAACATCAAGTTTGTAAGTGCACATTTGTTGGAATTGGTGTGCCTCCAAAAATGAGGAATGAAAAATCTAAATAATTAAAAAAATTTGTCCTTTTTTAAACCAAAATTAATAATTTTAGAATCAATATGAAAGTAAATATAGGGAAATGGAGAGGGAATAAAATGAAGGCCACCAGTGACTTTAAAGCTGTTTTTAATTTTTTTTGGTAACAAAAAAATTGATGGCGGCCTAAATTCGCGCGACACTCTTGCCCCAAAAATAAATTTTAATCAATCAAAAAATGTTTCAAAATTTGAGACTAACCAAAGGACAAACTAAAGGTAGAGGACGTAAAGAAATGCTTCGAGATCTATGTCGTATGCGTTGTTGCAATATTTGTCTTTGTTGGGGTTGGGGTTGTCGAGTCTGAAAAGATGATAATAAAAGTTGAGAGTTTGAAAAAGTTTGATAAGGGGACAAATGCTTTTAATAAAAATTTACAATCAAGTTTATTTTTTAAGTAAAATAACTGAAATTTTAATACGAATAAAATTACAAATTGTAAAAAGTTTAATTTACAATATGCGAAAAATAAACTTTAATTGTAAAATTTTATTAAATAAAGTTTTACAATTTCAAGTTTATAATAAATATTGTAAATTAAACTTTTTACAATTTGTAATTTTATTAAAATTGCAATTTTAGTTATTTTCCAAGCTCATTTTTCTATAAATTAATAAGTTTACAATTTTCGAGAAAATTAATGTTGGCTTAAAAATACTACACCTTATTCGCTCTTCTAGCTGACGTTGACGGCTGTTCTTCTTCTACCGAATCACCGCCTTCTTCAGATTCTGGAAACCTGGAGTATTCACCACCGCTAGTGCCCGACTTTTGAGATAAGAGGATGTTTCGAGCCTTTAATGAAGCGTGTAATAATTGACGGAGAGGGGAGTGTTGCTGTTTCTGAAAAATTTTTAGGGCAAATTATATATGGGAAGGACAATTTATTTTGTTTAAAAATTTAAAAATGTCTGGATTTAATAAATTAAATCAATTAAAATTTTAAAATACCCCTTACATTTAAAGGCGATGTTTTATTTCGACGAGGAGAGGAAGATAATGACTGCTTTATAGGTGAAATTGGCACTGGTGGCCAAGCAATAAATGGTGTGGGAAGAAAAGGACGTCGAGGTAAATGAAATGGGGTAGTAGTAGATTTTGGTTGTTGTTGTCGTTGATGATGTGATAAAGGTGGGGGAGAGTCTGAAAAATTGGTTAAATAAAGCTTTAATTTTGAGACTGTAATTTAAAATTAGGTAAATTACAAAATTAAAACTTTAAAAAAGTTGAAGCCTTAAAAAAGTTACAAACTTAAAAAAAGTTGCAGCCTTAAAAAAGGTTGCAACTTAAAAAAGTTTCAAACTTAAGAAGCTTGTAAACCTAAAGGCTTAAAAAGGTTGTAAACTTGAAGGTCATAAAAAAGGTTGTAAACTTAAAAAAGGTTAAGGTTGCAATCTTAAAAAGTTGTAATTCTACAAAAGATTGCAAACTTAAGAAGGTTGTAATTTTAAAATTAAAGGTCTTAAAAAAGGGTTTTACAATATTTAAATTTGTAAAACTTGGAATTTTAACAGTTGTAATTTTCTCTATTTGGTTCAAAAACAAGTTAAAATTTAATTATAAAACCGATTCCTTATTTTCTCCCGTTTTTTAAGTAAATACATATTAAATTAAATTAAAAAAACAAGTTAATATGTAAATATATTTATTTAATAAATATCCAATAAATTTTTGAAAAAGACACGCTCAAACTGGATATAAACAGAAAAAAAATAAAAAAAAGAGGATGAACATTAATAAAAGGAAGAGCAGTTTATTTACATAAAATTGAAAAAATGAGAAAGATAAATAAACAAAAAAATTAGATTTTTACAACGTTTTTAATGGGATTTTAATATTTATAAATACGAGAAAGATTGTAATCTTAAGTTTATTTTTACAAATTGTAAAAATAAAGTTTAATTAAATTGAAAATTCAAGTTTATTTAAAATTACAAATTAAAGTTTATTTTTTATAAATTGTAAGTTCAAGTTTATTTATTTTCACAAATTGTAATTTAAAGTTTATTTTTTTTACAAATTGTAAATCCAGGTTTATTTATTTTTACAAATTGTAAACCCAAGTTTAATTATTTTTTACAAATTGTAATTTAAGGTTTATTTATTTTTACAAATTGTGAATTCAAGTTTAATTATTTGTACAAATTGTAAAAATCCAAGTTTATTTTAAATTGCACTCTAATGCTAATTTTCTGAAAATTGCAATCTTGAGTTATATTGTATAATTTGTAGTTTTATATTTGCGCTCATTTAAACTGTTCTAATTTACTAAGAATTGTAAACTTAAGTTTATTCTCAGCTAATGGAACGTTATGAAAGTTTGCTCATAAATTCCCACAATTATTTATTAAGACTAAAATAAAAAAAAAGATAGCAAGGAACACAAAGATTACTTATTCTAAAAAGGAAAAAAATGGAAGTTGATAAGGAAGGAATTTTAAAATTATTAAATTTAGAATGATTATAAAAAATCAGAAATTTATATAAAATTTTTTGTTGAACAAATCGTTATTTAAAAATATTTTTTCAATCAAAGATTGTTCACTATTAAATAGAATCCGGCAAAATCGCATTCCCGGGATGCCGGAACGGGATTTTTTCAAAATTTTGTACGGGACGGGATCTCGCGGGATTAATCCCGTAAATCCCGGTAATCCCGTTTGTCGCTAAAAACCCGGGATTCCGGGGTGGGATCCCGTAAAATCCCGTACGGTGTCCCGTCCCGTGCCAGTCTCTACTATTAAACACATTTTATGTATAAATGACAAAAAAGGGAATAAAAAATAATTTTAAAAATTTTAATAAAAAACGGTCAAAAAGCGAAAGCGGAGAATAAAATAATAGGAGAAAAGAGAAAAATATTTGTATTGAGTTTTTGCTTTTAAAAAATCGTGAGGGGTGGACTGACATTAAAAATAACAAGCACGCGTGCTCTCGTAGTTTGTTACTATTTTTAGAAAAGTTCAAATAATAAAGGGAATGGAGAGAATTTTTTAAATGCTTTTTAAAAGTTTGCGCTGCACTTTGCATATTTACAAAGGGTTGTAGTTTCTATTTTTGTAAACTAATACATTTAGATTCTCAATAGAATAAGTGGTTGGTAATTGAAAGTGAGAGAATATTTAATTAATGTTTTTAATGTTTTATTTATTGTATTTTGATTATCGGCCTTTTAATTATAAAACGTTTATTAAGTTAGGTAGTTACATACTTCATTATGTTTTTAAAGTTTGCAAGTTTGTAAAACTTTTTTAAGTTTACAACTTTTTTAAGTCTGCAATAAACTTAACACTTAAGTTTGCAAAAAAAAGTTTATTAATTTTACAAAAGTTTACTAAGTTTTTAAAGTTTATGTGTTTGCAAGTTTGTAAAACTTAAGTTTGTTATTAAAAAGTCAAGTTTTCAAGTTTATTTATTTTCAGGTTTGTAAAACTTATTTAAGTTTGCAAAAAAAGTTTATTTATTTGAGGGTTTATTTGTAAATTTTAAAGTTTATTTATTTTCAAGTTTGTAGAACTTTAAGTTTGCAACTTTTTAAGTTTACAACTTTTTAAGTTTGCGGAAAAATTTATTTAAAGGATTTATTTGTAATTTTTAAAGTTTATTTATTTTCAAGTTTGTAAAACTTTAAGTTTGAGTTTAAGTTAAGCTTTTAAGTTTTTTGTTTTAAGTTTGCAACAACAAAACATATCTTTAATAAACCTACATTGAAAAGCTTTGTTTGTATGATGATATTTACTTGTCCCATTACTTTTAAGAACGCTCCCATTTCTCTGCTTTTTCTCCTCAGCTGATGATAATCCTGTAGTTTCCGTCTCCACTGAAGTGTGTAATTCCTTTCCACTACCAAAAAGTTCATCGTCAATAAAATAATTGTTTTGATTATTTATTTGTTGCTGATTTTTTAATTTCTTCTTTTGAAATTCTTTAATTTTTATTTTTTCATTTGAATTTGGAAGGTGTTTTGGGCTTTTCTGGGGTGTTGTTTTAATATTGGATTTTGTAGTAGTCTTCTTCTCTGGAGTGAAACTTGAGCAACTCTCAGCAACGGCTGTAGATGTTGTAGCATGTAAACAACTTCCACTGCCACTACTGCTGGTGCTTCGAGCTAGGAGAATCTAAAAAAATTATAATGTTCATCTACATGTTCTGCTTGAACTTGTCCATCAACAAGTACTGCTTGACTTATTGATGGACAAGTACTGCTTGAATTTGTTCACGCGTACTGCTTGAATTTGTTCACGCGTACTGCTTGAACGCGTATATCAAGTACTACTTGAACTTGTCCATCAACAAGTACTGCTTGAACTTGTTGATTTTTTGAACGAAAAATAAATTTAAAAAACTTGCCACTTGTTGGTCAACATCAACAAGAGGAGTAGAATTCGATTTCCCTTTAACATTCTTTCTATAATTAAGGGATGATGAGCTTCGATGAGTAGGAGAAATACTGACGGCAGCGGCCAATAAATTTTTTTGAAGCCAATCCACGGCTGATAAAAGCAATTAAATTTTGGTATAAAACCTGAAGCAATAAGAAACTTGAAATCGAGATTAAACTTGAAAAATTAAACATAAACTTGTGGAAACAGCAAACTTGTAATAGAAAACAAGTGCAAACTTGAAAATAATACCAAAGAAAACTTAAGTGTGAAGTTGAAAGAAAAAATAAACTTGAGAACAAACTTGAAACAAACTTGAGACAAAAACAAACTTAAGAACAAACTTAAAAACAAACTTAAGTCAAACTTAAAAACAAACTTAAGATCAAACTTAAAAACAAACTTGAAACAAACTTAAGATCAAACTTGAAAACAAACAAAAAAACAAACTTGAAAACAAACTTAAGAACGAACTCAAGAACACGCCTAAAAACAAACTTGAGATCAAACTTGAAAACAAACAAGCTTAAGAACAAACTTAAAAACAATTTAAAAGACAACAAACTTAAAGAATAACACAAACATTAAAATAAACTTTAAAATAAACTTTAAAATAAGTAAGATTGTAAACGAACTATTAAAAATCTTTAAAAAATAAAATTTATTTGAATGAATAAAAAATCTGAAAAATCGTTCTAAAGCAACCATCTTTTTTTTCTTCTTCTTAACATCCATTTCCTTCCCCCTACCATTTTATTTGTTCCAGACCGCTACCCGTTTTTGGTCCAATTAAATTAACCGATTTTCTAATGTTAACAAAAAAGACAAATAAAAATTGACAAAAAAAACAAGTTTCCGGAAAAGAAAGGGAAAATATATTAGTTCACAAAGGAGCTGCTTTGTTTTTACTATAAGGGAAAGGGGGATGAGCATTAAACATAGATTTCCTGAAGGGATATATTGGAACATTGGATGACAATGGAGAGAAGGCAAGAGGAACTTTAAGATAGCATATTTTTCTAATTGAAGATCCGAGCTTCTATTTTTCAATTGTTCTATTAGAAGTGGAACATTCTATTAGAGGGAATGACTCCTGCAAATGGAGGGATCATTTGGATCTTTGGAGGGTCTCTTTATCCAAATGGAGAGGCTGAATTGGGCTAGCTATTTATCCTTCAGCTAATCTAAAAGATAACTTAGGCAGCTGGAAGCGAACCAGCATCCTTAGTTGACTGACTTGATGTATCTATTACATCACGCCGACTCCAACTAGAGCTCCTTCAAAAGGCCTTGCCGTATCATAAAAATAAAAAGATGGAAACAGGAATGAATCGGAAGATAAAAAGCGGAAAACTGAAGGTAGATGCTGAAGAGCAAAACTATGCTTTAACTATACGGAAGAGCAAAACCTTGCTATATGCTTGACACTATGAGAGGTTAAGAGGAAACTTTACTAAGAAATACAAATTAATTGTTTAGCAAATTAATTGTCTTCCCGAAAATTGATGTATCAACCAATACCAATAAAAAAATAATTGACAGATCCTACAGATACACAACAAAACAAAAAAATATTAAAAAAAAATTTAAAGTCAAGGATGGATTCACTCAAAAAATACCAACCCAATAAAGAAGAGGATAAACAGCTTTTCCTCTCCATAAAAAGAGGAGTCCAAGTAAAGGCCAGTCAACAACAATAAGCTTAAAGAAGAGCTCAACTAAAGAAGTGAGAAATAAATTATTCGGAACTCCCTAGAGAATGCCCCCAAAAAAGCTTTAGACTCTGGGTAAGGATGAGTCGGTGAATATAAAAAAGGGGAGAAAAAAAGGGGGAGAAAAAAAGATAGCCGCGGTTTTCTGCAGATAATAGCGCCAAAAATGGAGAAAAGAGGGAGGGAGATATATTTTTTAAATTTATTTATATAGATATTTTTAGTTGGAAAATGTTTTTGGTGGTTCTAACACTTTCCACAAATATAGGGGGAGGCAACAAGCTAGTAGGGAGAAAAATGACCATTGGAAGGAAAAATGGTGGGAAGGGAGAAAGGAAAGATTTTTTTCCAAAATAATAAAAGTAAAAAAAAAGTTGGATTTTTTTTAATAAAAATAATTTTTAAATTTATTTAATTGTATTTTGCTCTTGAAAAATTTTTTTAAAATTTAAAGAGTATAAATTAAAAATAATATATATTTCCGGAAAACTCTCAGAATTTTTGTTTTCCGGAAATTTGTATTTATAATTAAATAGCTTTCTTCAGAGCTGAAATAATTCCGGAAAAATAGAATATTTGTATTTTCCGGAAAATACATAATTTATTCTATCCGGAATGTATGTGTTTTAAATAAAAATACTTTGTATTTTCCGGAAAACTGTTTAGGCTAAAACTTATTTAATTTCCGGAAACTTTAAAAATATTTTATTTTCCGGAAATTTGTATTTAGTATATTTATAATTGGTTTTTTAATGAGTTTTCCTCAACTTTCAGAATAGAGGCTATAATTCCAATTGATCAATCCGGTTTTGTACAACAGAAGCCACAGAACAATGGAAAATAAAAAACCTGTATTTGTCAACAAAATTTATGTATTTTTAAGAATTTTTCAGAAATTTTTTGTAAATATTAGTATGGGGAGTTAATTGCCGACAGAACTTATAAAATTTATAAATTTACCTACATATGATTTTGATGAGAGATGAATGAGAGGGGATGGAGGGGAACAAACGTTGATCGCGACCTAAAAATAATCTTTTATTGAAAATAATTTTTTAAAACTTCTAATAAAAAATAATTTTGATTTAACGACATTTGCGGACAAAAATTTGCAGACGCTTACAAAACTTTAATATTAATATAGGGAGTTAAATCTATAGTATACTACCACTAAATCAGTACCACGCAGACTTGGTCCTACACATAATTTTTGTATCTATTAGGGTTTGCTAGTCATTTGTCCCAAATTTTTATAGGTCAGTTTTTGTCCGCAATTGTCGGAAGTCCGCAATTTTTGTACTCATTAAAGGAGAGAAAAGGAGTGAGTTTTTGACGATCATCCTCACTCATTTAAGGAAAATTAGAATACAATGAGGGAAGATAGAATAGGGAGAAATATTGGGGGAGACAGAGAAATAGAGTGATAAAATTAGGGATGATAATTATAACTAATTTCCCTCATTTTTTGCAAAATTTGCAACCTTTTGATTTTTGTATTTTTACAATTATTTTACAATACCTTTTACCCTTCTTCACGTCGCAACATATATACTCCTCGGATTATATATAGACAAGAAATTTTTCGACTCAACAACACTTTACCCCCATGTCACCAAAGCTCACATCAATACCGTTCCCAGACATTTTCAATATGCTGAGGACGATATTTGTATCGGAGCGAAATTAACGTTTGAGAGCAAGATTGGCTCGCCGGCGAAAAGAGCGCCGGAAGGGTCGTCTCAAGGCGACTAAATTTTTGGAAGGGGCCTCCGGGCCCCACAAATACCTTAAAGATTCTAAGTTTTTTAAAATTTAAAAATTTTTTAACTCACTTTAAAAAAGGAGACGAAAATAAGAGTAGATAGAGATAGAGAGGAAGATCTGTAATTTAAAAATTTTTAAAATATGTATGTATGTATATGTAATTTGAAATTTTAAGTTCTGTCGACAATTTATAAAAAATTTTAAAATTTTAAATTTTTTTACCACCTCCGAAAAAAAGTACACCACCTCCGAAACTTACAACTTTTGAAAGGAATTATCAGAAACAAATATCGGGGGAATTTGAGGAACTAACAAATAAGGGGATATTGATGGATCTGGGGTGATTAAAGGGGAGTTGAAGACCTCAAAGGTCTTCAGGGCGTAGGTTTTCGAAGTGTAGTTCATCAGGGTTGACCCCTTTGAAAACATAAAATTCAGTCTATTTTTAACAATTTAAATAATTTATTTGCTTTAATGGGATGGTAAAATTGAAGAAAATAGGGGAAAAAATTGATTAATACATAGGAGTAGTTAAAGCTTGGCTTAAGCCTTTTCTACATAGTAAGGAACGACTAAAATTTATGGGCTTTGGTCTATGCAAAAGCAAATGACCACCATTATGTGCCCTCCTCTATTTTTTTTGTTTCATTTCCACTCATTTCTAAGAGGTCCGGACAACAATATGAGATGGATTTGCATATATACTGAAGGCTAAGTTGATAAACAAATTAGCTAGAAAGAGGCAGAATATGAATATTAAAAATAGGGTTGCGGGCCCGGTCCGAAAGATCGAGTTGGGCACTAAATTTTGGCCCGAAAAAGACTCGGTCGGGCCAACCCGAAAAAAAAAAGACTCAAACGTCGTTCCGACTCGAAAACCCCAACCCTAATTAGAAACAAGGCCACAAAAAGGTCAAAAAAGGTAAGGGGAAGGGAGTAGACACCAATGGCAAGGTCAGCAACTTAATTAAAAAAATTTTAAAACCCAGAATTTCCGGAATATATTCAATACTCGTTGAATTAAACAAAACCAGAATATACGCGTATATTTTTCTTTTTTTTCTTTAAATTTAAAACTTGAACAACAATAAAAGTGGAAAATTACTAAAAAAATATAATAAAGTGTGTATTGGTCTATACTTTTCTCCGTTAAATTGCCAGCAAAAAATTTTCCAACAACAGAAAAACAAACGAAAAAACAAAAAAAAAATGTAAAATTGTCGTTTATTTAAGTGACACCCTTTTCCAACTCTCCCAAAATTCCCATGTTATTTGCCGCTGACTAGCCAAAAAAAAGTTGTGGCAATAAGTACCACAAGCGCTACTTTCTACAACTTATGACCGTTATTAGGCGTTTATGTGGGGATTCATCTTAAACTTGGGTGAGTGAAACTGTGGATGAGTAAAAAAAAAGAAAGAGCTAGAGGCCTGTCTTGGTAATAGTTCGGTTCGTACCCCGCACCCTTTTTCCCTTTCTAAAAATATTAAAAAATGGTCAGCCAGTCTTAGGTTATAGAACTCGTCGAGCTGTGTCGAATGACACCAAAATCAACACAGCAAATCAGCTCGACAAGCTCTATCGATTGAGCTATTATTTGTTTAATTGAATTTTTAGCCCAAAGAATGAGCTTGGTCCTCCTTTCATTTTTCAATTTTCGAGGGTCTGTATCTCGGTCCAATGTTAAGACCTGGGGTTGATTTTGGTGTCATTCGACACAGCTCGACGAGTTCTATAAACTAAGACTGGCTGACCATTTATTAATACTTTAGAAATAAAAAAAAGGGTGCGGGGTACGAACCGAACTATTACCTGTCTTCTCTCCTCTCTCTAATATAAGACCTCTTCAAGTGGAAGAAGGATAGACCTTGAATAATTGAATCCTTTAAGAAGGATTGTTTTTTTTTGTGCCATCTAAAAATGGAGGGGGGGGGGGGGGAATTCTGGAATAGATGAAGGAAGAAAGGATGTCACCCTACAATTTTACCACAAAAATATAGCAATATTTTTTTTCTTAAATTAATTTTTTTTATTGAGTTTCTCACTAAAAAATTTTGAAAAATATTTCTTAAATTTTCAACCAACAATTAATCCAATTCCAAATCTTCCCTGTGATTTAACATGATTGAGCATTCCACTTAAGGCTAAAGTAAAAGGAAATTGTTTTGATAATTTCTTTTCTAAAACAGCTCCAACAGTCCAATTTGTATCACAACAAGCACGTAAAATTATTGAATCGGGAATTTCTATTTGATAAGCAAATGTCGTATTTACATCCTTAAAAATTAAATTTTAATATAAAAAATCAAAAAAAAATTCTTTTTTTTTTAAAATAGTATAGAAAAATAAGAGATGACAGAGAAAATCCTTTCGAGCAATCTCTTTTGACTGGACACCAAGGGCGTAGCCAGGGGGCTTCTATTTTCATCAGTCTAACCTCACTATCAGGATCAGAAGCCCCCTCGAAATGGGAGAAAGCGGAAAATTTTAGGGCTTCCAAATTCTCAAAAATAAAACTAAAATCACGTTCGAAACGCCAATATAAACACCAAAATTTTGGTGCAAACCCCATTTTAGCCCCCCCCCCTCTGAAATCGGCCCTGTGTCTACATCCTTACTCACTATACTTGGAGACAAGTTGACAATCCTAGTGATATCTTACAAGGGACCCCCAAACATTATTAACACAACAACAAAAAAATCAGTATGAACCTGCATACGAAAATTCGCTTCCAATTCAACACCAAATTGCAAATGATCACTCTGTTTATGGTAATAACATAAATGAGCTGTAGTAAAAGAAGCTGTAGCAGAATTAATTGCTGTAGATCCAGAAAATATATAATCAGGCATAGTATAACGAGCAGCATAAGAAAGGGCGCTGATTTGGCCTCCTATTTAAAAGAAGAAAAATTTTTTTTAATGTGAAAATTCTAAAATCTTCCCAATTAATCCCTAATCCAAAAAACACATTTTAGGGGTTTCTTAAGAAAAAAAAGCGAGGAATTTACACGAGATGTAAGCATTAATTTTTAGAATTTTTGGCTTTAAAATTCCATATCCATTCTATTTAAACCTACGTATTTTTGTCGTTTTGGAGAAATTTTCGAATTAACTTTGTTTCCAAAAGGATACTAAAAGGGACCAAATTAATACTCACAGTCCAGGCAGCTCCCCTAAATTGCAGTAAAAAAGGGAGTGCTGGGACCATTCTGTAAATCTAATCTAGGCACAAATACATTACATATAATCACTAAGGATAGCTTTTGGGTTAGCCAGACCCAAGCTAATACCTCTGCTAATGTAAGCTACACCGGCGTGCTTCTTATAATGAAAAAAAGGAATCTTTGTTATGCGCTAAAGCTATGAGTGTCATTTTCCACCAAATTCTTCGGTTAATCAAAGCTTAACCGCAAAGCCAACCATAAATGTTCAGTATGGATCTAAAACCGATAACCTACTCAAAAGCCCAAAAGTTTTCTCAAATCCTAATTTGAAAAAATACACATTCCTAGCCTACCCAATAATTTTCTAAGAAACCTGGCATTCTCGGATCCTTCTGATAAACAAATTCAGCACCCAAATCTAAACGTTCAGTCAGCCTTCGAAGATATTGAGCAACAAAAACACCATTGCCATTAAATGGATTTAAATTTGCCAAAGTCATTCCGATTGTTGAAAGGCGTCCACGCCGTTCAAGTGAAACTTGTGCAGCAGCTAATTTACTCATCTGAATATTGAAATAAAAAAAAGAAAATTTGGAGTTTGGTGGAACCTAACACCCAGCCCCAGATAATGAATCACTTAAACCGAAAAATTTGGAAATGCTCCAAAAAAGCAAAAAATTGAAACAAGTTTTAAACACTTTTAAAACACAACTTATATTCGTCTAAAACAGAACCCATCAGGTATGCCCATCAAGTATCCTGTCCCCAAAAAATAAACCAGATTTTTGAGGCCCACGACGCACTCGAAATATGTAAAACGTTCTCCACAATTTAAATGAGATTTTTAAAACAATTCTTGTTTTAGACGAACAGGCCCGTAGCGAATTTTTTGGCCTACTAATATAAAATTAAAACTTCAAAAAACCAACTTGAACTTGTCCTTGTAACTTCATCCGATATCGTCCAATTTGATGTATAATAGTCCCAGCAGTATTCCCAAACAAATCCATATCACCCAACAAAACAGGAAATGCCTCGCCCGGACCAGTTAGTTTAGTGCCGACATAAGTAGCTCCCAAACGATAACCTGTGGCTGCTTGAGAAATGCTCATACTATGAGAAATCTGAAAAAAAGAAAATTAATTTTAGGAAATAAATGTTGCGAAAAATTAGAATGCAAGATTTTCGAAAAATCTTGACCGAGATCCTTGACCTTGATTTCAGTTGGGTACTTTGACCAGATTCTTGAGCCAAAGAAAAATCAAGGTCAAGGAAAAATCAAGGTCTGGATCCAAATCCAGCTCGCTCTCTATAGGAAATTTAAAAATAATTCTGTAAAATGGGTGACTCGTCGACTTTTAAACAAAATTTTCGAAGTGTTCGGCCAGAGAAAAATTAAGGAATGGTGAAAGAACCCCTTTTGGCCTTAACTTTGGATGAAAAAAACGCAAGCGTAGATCAGAAGTGGGTCGGGTTGAGGAAAAAGTCAGGTCAGGTTTTCGAGCAGTCCTCGAGTCGAAAACAGCCCAGATTTAGGATAACCCGACTCACTCCTGAGGTAAATCCAAACACTAATTAGAAAAAAATTTGGAGCTGGACCCAGCGCCCAGTAAATTTCTTTCTGGTTTCAGAATCAAAATCAAAGGCCTCGCAAAGCTCCTAGAAATTCTTAACTCAATCTCAATAACCCAAAAAGTCTTCACTTGAAAACGAGTCCAAGGTCAAACCAAACGTCCAAAGGCTCTTTTAGCTTACATTAACCCACTTAAAAATATAAAAACAAGGTTAAAATAAAAAATATACCTGAAAACGCTGGCTCAGTGGTTTTTGAACCATTCCTTTAGCTCCTTCAAAACAGACCGGGAACAATTCTTTGCACTTTCTACAAGCAAAATAGTCCATAAAATTAAACATAAAATTCAACAAAACCTGTGCAATTCATCATACGAACCAGGATTTTTTTCATTTTCATCTTTTAAAAATGAATCTGGAGTCATTTCTTGCTGGTCAGTCATTTTAATCTTCAAAAACCTTTCTAAAATTAACCAAAAATTGAACAAAAATTGAGGAAAATGACTCAAAAATGAGTCAAAAAAAGAACGAAGAAGAACGTAAAAGAAGAAAAAAAATAAGCAAAAAATGTTAACTTTTTGATAAATAAATTGGCAAAACACCAAACAAAATTAACACAAAGAAAATTAACACAACGCCAAAATAAATTTTATCATTTGTGACATTATGTCAATTTTAACCCTAAGTGACATTTTGTCGCCTTAGACTTTGTGACATTTTGTCGTTTTTCACCCTCCCAACATTTTGTCGTTAATAACAGAAAGCGTGTCCGGTTAACTCATCCAATCGTTAACTCATCTACACGGCCAAAAAGGGGTAAACTCATCTAAACGGCTAAAATTCGTTAACTCATCTACACGGCCAAAAAGGGGTCAACTCATCCAATCGTTAACTCATCCAATCGTTAACTCATCTACACGGCCAAAAAGGGGTCAACTCATCCAATCGTTAACTCATCTAATCCTTAACTCATCTACACGGCCAAAAAGGGTCAACTCATCCAATCCTTCGGAACGAGCCTATTGAGTACCGGCCGTTTGAGTCTTTGGCCGTCTGAGTCCGGCCGTCTGAGTCTCTGGCCGTTTGAGTCTCTGGCCGTCTGAGTCTCTGGCCGTTTGAGTCTCTGGCCGTCTGAGTCTCTGGCCGTTTATGTCTCCGGCCGTTTGAGTCTCTGGTAAGTAGAGTCCATGACCAGTTGAGTCCATGGCTAGTTGAGTCCATGGCCAGTTGAGTCCATGGCTAGTTGAGTCCATGGCCAGTTGAGTCCATGGCCAGTTGAGTCTCAACCGGCGGTACTCTACTGGCCAAAGACTCAAACGGCCGGTACTCAATAGTCTCGTTCCGAAGGATTGGATGAGTTGACCCCTTTTTGGCCGTGTAGATGAGTTAACGATTGGATGAGTTGACCCCTTTTTGGCCGTGTAGATGAGTTAACGATTGGATGAGTTAACGATTGGATGAGTTGTATAGGAGCCACAGAAAGCGTCTCCTCTTCTTCTTTAGAAGCGCAATATTTTTCCTCTTTCTTTCTCTCTTATTTAAATCCCTCCTATTTCTCTTGCATCTTTTCTACTATAAGGAAAACTATTTCGTTTAATTTCTCACATACTCCTTTACAACCTATTTATTATTTTTTAAAGTAAATTACATTTTTTTTGATTTTTCCACAGTTACTTATCGCTTCTCGGCCTTTTGGCTAAGATCAAAGTGTAGTATCTGTTCTTTACGGCTTAATCTCCGTAACGATCCCTACCGGGATCAAAGAGATTAACCAATTTTTGGAAAAGGGTAAGAGTTGGAAGCTTGCTTCCTCTCTGCCGCGCGTCGGCCCGGTCTTGCACTTACCTCCGGGAACGGCGCATTCCTCCCTTATGGGAGGATCAAAATCTTGATTCGGTAAAAGTATTGTAGTCTTAATGACTGCTTCAACTGATAGAGAAGTGATCTGACTTTAAGTTTTTGTTTCTAGGCAGATTGTAGTTTTAACTTTTCTTCTCGTTCATTTATCGCTTCTCTGCCGATATCGTTAATACTAATCTCTCAATGTCCAATAAGTTAGGAAAAGTTTTAAAACGATTTTAAAAAAATTTGTAAGAGGTTGTTATTTATTCAATTAAAAAAGGTGTGAGGATGTAAAAAAAACAAAATCTATCTACACAATTTTAAAATAAAAGAATCCATTTTGTACTAATTATCTCTCTTATTAATTGCATAAATCTACTATATTAAGTCTTTCCGGATAAGGATAGACATAAAGGGTAGAAGAGAGACAAATTCCGGAACTTATACATACAAAATACCGACAAAAATAAGATTTCGGGTATAAAAGACAAAAAGGTACATGGGCAAAAACCGACAAAACGGTACCACGGCAGAAAATGACAAAATGGTACCACGGCTAAAAAACGATAAAAAGGAACACTTTTGAGGAGGGTTTTTTCCATAAAATTTTTTCCTCTACTAAAAAATCACTAAAAATTTTTTCAAATTTTTTATCCTTGATTATCATTCCTTCCTTTCTTCTTTTTTATTTTTTCCAAATTATTTTTATGTTTTCTTCCTTCCAAATGTTTTTTCCAATGCATTTTTCCTTGAATTTCTGTTCCACAAATATCACACAAGAAAATTTTTTTCCGATTTTCCATATAATCTTCTTGTTTAAACATGTCCCCCAATGGTGGTAATTTATATAATAATCCATTACATTTTTTTTCATCATCAATTTCTTCTCCAGACAAAAATTGTTTTACTTGTTTTAATGCAAATGGGACCAATTTTTCAGCAAAATCTTTTGAGGAATTTAATGCTAAGGTTTTTGGTATCTTAAAAAAATTATGAAAAAATTAATTAAAAAAATTTTAAAAATAAAAAAATTTTTTTTAAATTGTATAAACCACAAGGTTTTAATTTCAGAGAAAAATAGATTTTAAGGACTAAAATTGACAGTTCGAAAAAAAATATTCTTCAGATATTCGGAACCAAAACAGAATTTTCGGTAAATAATGAAACCCCAACTGATGATAGATGGGTTCCTTTATCCAAAAAACACCCCATTTCTTGTTCAAATTTTTAAAAATGTACATCAAAGGTTTACCCAATAAATAGGATTTGAGGACCCGGATTTGAAAAAGGCTCGGATATCCAAAAAAAAATTCCCATTTCGTATATTTTAGGCATCTGGGGAAGTTCCCAGAAATTCGCCAATTTACAAACTAAATTGATTTAAAAAACCCCCATGAAGAAAAGGGTGAAAAACGAAACTAAATTAAGGCCAAAAGACGAAAAAAGCGAAACTGGCATTGTAAAAAAACTAAAAACTTTTCGACGAGATTTTAAGTGGTTCAGGCTACCTAGAACATAGCCAGGAGTTCGATTTCAGGGGGTGGCTAAACTTTGGGTTTGAGAATTTTCTGGGTTGTAGGCGTAAAAAATTCACTTTTCTGATCATTTCCCTCCTAAAAAAATTTTTTTCACTTTCCTCATTTCAGAGTGAGTTTTAGCCCCAGAAGCACCTACGCCCTTGCAGGTTACCCTTATCTAATTTCCCCATAAAAAATTTTTTTCTCCCCAATAACAAAACAAAACCTCTCTATGTTCTCCTCTATTTAAAATTCTATTATAGAACCAAAGCCTTTGTCTCTGTGCATATTGTCTATTTCTTGTTTTTAATTTTTCTTTGCATTCTTCAATTTTGTGTTCTCCTCTAATTGAATTTCTTCCAATTATATTTAAACGTAAATAAGGCAAAAATTCTTTTGGGCCAATTATTTGCATTATTCCAAATTTGTCAACTTTTCCAAAATACTGGAAAAATAAAAAAATAAATTTTTTTTTACTAAAAATTCAGAAAAGAGGCGGAAGGTGTTTATCAGGGATCTAGCCGACATAAAATTAAATTCACTATTTTTAGGAATCGGGTCGGCTAGATCCCTGGTTTCTATGGGAGAGGAAGACGTTTTTTTGAATCACCAATATTTTTTGACTACTGAACAATCTTTTTGGAAAGTTATAGGGGCTCCAAAGTAAGGGAAAGTATTGCTGAACGAGCATTCAGTCCTCCTTTATTTCAAAATTTTTGGAAAATTATTTTTTTTTTGTAAAAAATGACAAACATACAAAAAGCGTCGAAACGTTAAATCGTCACGTGAACCCCCAGGATTTTTTCAGAGCCGAAAAAAATTAGGAAACCCGACCCAATTTTTTTTCTCAACCCAGACCAAGCAGGTAAGAAATACATAATATAAAAAAAAATAAAAAATTAACCTCATCATAAAAATCTGTAACTTCTTTTAATAGACCCCTTTCCATCATTTTATCAACTCTTTTATTTAATCTTTCATTTAAAACATCTTTTTCCATATCCAAATTAATTAAAAATGTATTTTTGAAACGCAAACGAGTATAAAAATGATCATAACCTTCTGAAAAAATTAAAATTTAAAGAATTAAAAATTGATATTTAATTGAAAAAAGCTCATTTTTACTTAAATTTTTCCAAAAAATGACAACCACAGGGTTTGGGCAATGTATCAGTGAGCTAGAGAGTCGGCTAGCTCCCCCTGGCTCCCATTTAAATTCTGAGTATAACTCCGGCAGATAGTTTCGGAGCAGGCTTCCGCCGGAGACGGAGTTAAGAATTTGAAATGCCCGGAGCCTGAGCCAAGAGCTTAAATGAGGTTGGAGCCATAAAACACCCAATACCCAAAATTGGCCCAACTCGATAATGGCCTTAAGCTAATCCTTTTTAAGTTACATTGACACTTCCCAATAATACTGTTAAATAATCAGTTAAATAAAAAAATTAAAATTGTTCCCCTCACCCATCCCCAAAATTAAAGATTAATTTCAAAAAAAAAAACATAAAAAATTATTTTGATTTTGTGGTCTTTACTTTTTTTTGTACATATGTAGAGAGTGTCTCCCCTCGCTTTTAATTAATTATAATTAACTTTTAAAAATATTTTTTGACCAAGTTTTTGTGAAAATTCCCCTCTCCCCTTCCTTCAAAAAAAAATTTTCTTGATAAATAGGAAAGTAAACAATTTTCTCATTAATTTCCATTAAATAAAAAAAGGAAAGGGAAACCCCCAAAAAATTTTGTTAACTCAAAAAAACCTGGAGCCTCCTTTTGCTGCTCTTTTTGATGTTCACTTCTAGTTTTCCCCGTAGTTCGATAAATTTCGAGTGCCCGCAATACTCTATGTTTGTTATTTCTGTGAAGCTCTGATGCTGTTTCTGGATCTACTCGTTGAAGTTCTTGATAAAGTGTATCGACTGTAGGGAATTCTTTGAGTATTTCTTCGCGGATTGTTTCTGAAAAATACCAAATTAAAAAAATTAAAGGGAGGACCACGAAGTTTTGGCTAGTAACCCAACTCAGGCCCGTAGCCATGGGGTACTACTTTCACATAAAAATCACGCGTGTCTTGCGACAAAAACAAGACGACGGTGAAAGACGCTAGTATGTGTCCACACAAAACTAGCAGTTGTCGCCGTAATATTTTTATGTTAGCGGAAGATGATTTTATGTGAACGATTTTCATATTAACGTCCTGTCCCGCCAAGGCTCATGGTCAGATGGCGGGAGAAGAGTCCCGTAGCCAGCAAAAATTTTTTCTGAGAGTGGGTCCTCCTCAAATTTGTTACCCTTCCCCATTTCGCGGGGGATGGGATGGGTTTGGATCCAGATCCCCTAACCCTAAAAACCTAGGATTAAATCGGTGTACAGCCCAAGTAGGCGCACGGCCAAGTAGGCGCAAAGCCATAACTTGCTTCAAGATTTCTGAATCTTATCAAATTTAGTATTAAACGATTCCTCTCATCGAGCTAAAGAGATTGGTACCAAAATTATTGAGGTCCAGAAATTTTGCAGCTAGTTATGGCTTGCGCCTACCTGGCCGCGCGCCTATTTGGGCGTGTCCCTTAAATCGAAGGGTTACCCTTCCCCCAAAAAATTTATTAAACAAAACAAACCTCCTTTCCCTCTATCACCAGTAACAATCAAATTATTATCAAAAATAACAGATTCAATATAATAAGCAGTCCCTCCAACAATTACAGGCAATTTATGTTCAGCCCACAATTTATTTAAAATTTCCAAAGCATCCTCTCGAAAATTTTGGACATTGTAGCCTGAATTTGTTGGCTCTAAAAACCCCAAAAGATGATGGGGAATTCCTTCCATTTCTTCTTTTGTCATTTTATTTGAGGAAATATCAAGGCCTGAAAAAAGGAAAGAATTAAAATGACGTTTAAAGTCGATAATCCCACTTCACCAAGGCCTGGGGTTTTCCTGTACCCAGAGTCCAGGCCCAGGCATTTTCTGACCTTCCTGGGGTTTTCCTGGGCCAGGGTTTTTCCTAGACCACAGGCCCAGGATCCGGCCCAGATCAATAAATCAAACCCAGGAACGGGCCCCTGTTTTTCAAAAATACCGATTTCTATTGCGGACAAAGGAACGGACGAAAATTGCGGACATGACTAAAAAATCTAGATGTATTTCTGAAGTCCGTAGGAGGTAACCGAGTCATTTTTGGTTTTGAAGGATTGGAAGAATTTTCGGAAATTACATTTTTGAGACAAAAAAAAATTTATTATCTCATGGAAAATTAAAAATTGATTTTTAAAAAATAAAAGAAAATTTTTGTCCGCAAAAAAATTGAAAAAATTCCCAAACCAAACCTTTATAAATTTGCATAGAATCAGCATTAATAATTTCCCCATTGAATTGTTTTGCAATAGCTACACCCAAATCGCTCTTTCCAGTTCCAGTACATCCAGATATTACAATTAAAGGGTTTTCTATTGAATATTTAAAGGGGTCCAATGAAGTGGTCATTTTATTGAAAATTCGGGCAATTAATTTGAAAACCTTTAAAAATTAAAAAAAAATTAGGAGGGAAAGAGAAGGGGTACAACCCAACGTACCGCAAGGCCCAAGGTACCGCAGAGCCTATAAATTCGTTCAAAATGGTCGAAGCCGGGACGCTCTGGGGGCTATTTCTCCTCTTCAGAATCTGCGGAAAGAGGGGTCCACAGAATCTGCGTTCTGTGCACATAACGCAGATTCTGTGGAGGGGAGAAATAGGCCCCTGATATGGTTCGATTCAGCTTGTCGAGATGTATAGAACCATACCAAGGCGTCCCAGCTTCGACTATTTTGAACGAAGCTATAACTCTGCGGTACGATGGCCTGCTCCCATAAGAAGACAGAAAAAAAATAAAAAAAACGAACCTTAAACTTATTTAAAGCAAAACGGCTGGTGATCCTAACACTTCGCATAGTTAAGAATTATTGAAAGAATTAATTTAAAATTAAAGTCTATTAAAAACGGCCAAAATAAGCTTACAAAAGTAGTAAAAATATTTTTAAAACAATTTTAAAGAATTTTAACCGAAAATTTTATTTTTCTCTTATAAAATAGGATCTAATGTCATTTATTAAATAAATTTCAAATTAAATTACATAATGCCAAAAAAGTTGGCGTATTTTAATATTTCAAAAATTGAAGTAAGCATACTCTTAGTTTACAAATTTAATTTAAGCTTATGCTTAAGTTCTAACCAAAGTATTTAACAAACTTAAGTTTAAGCAAACTTAAGTTAACAAACTTAAGTTTTAACAAATTTAATTTAAGCTTATGCTTAAGTTCTAACCAAAGTATTTAACAAACTTAAGTTTAAGCTTAATTGCTTAAGTTTGCAATTCAAGTTTTACAATTCCTGTTTGTAATTTTAAGTTTAAACTTATTCAAGTTTATTAAAGTTTGCTCAGAAGTTTATTTAAGCTTCTCAAGTTTACAACTTAAATTAAGGGCATTTTATGTATTTACAAATTAATTTCCAAGTTTACTAACTTAAGTTTACCTTAAGTTTACTTTAAGTCTACCAACTTAAGTTTACTATTGTGTTGGCCGTTTTTAAGAGAACTTACTCAAATTTTCAGGATTTTTAACACAATAAGCATAGGATCACCATTAAAATAAATTTACAATATTAAAATGAAACCACAATTATCGAAAATAATTAGTAATTTGTCAAATTAGGTAACTTGTAAATAAATAAATGAACGAGAAAGAGAAGGAAGAAGAATATTTAAATACACAAACTTTGTGATAAAAATTCTTGGGGTTTCCCCTTTTTTTAATTAATTAATTAAATTAATGAGAAAATTGTTTACTTCCATTTATCAAGGAAATTTTTTTCGAAGGGGAGAAAGATTAAACTTTTACACTAAAAATCAATCAAAAATTTTTAAAAGTTAATTAAATGTGAAAGGAGAAATTTTACGTAAAAATTAAAGACCATAAACTCAAAATGATTTTAATTTTTATGCCCCTCTAGGAAAATATTCTAGAAATTTTTTATGGACGTTGGATGGAATATTAATGGATGTTCCTGGATGGAGTACAAAAAATGCTCTCACAAAGGAAAGGCTGCGGGTGTCCGTGGGATTTCAGAATGAAATTTGGTAGATTTCACAATTTTCGCTGCAAGGGAACGTGGACACCCCAGGGACACCCCTTAGCCTCTCCTTTGTCAGGATGGAACACAGAGGGCATTTATTTAAAATACCTAGTTAAGGGCTAGACGATTCCGATCTCTCCCATTTCCCGTCCCATTTTTTCTGAAATTGGAGACCCTCTTCCATAAACCTTTGAAACAACAGGTAGGCACTTATCAGCCCTTCCAAGGCCTTCTAAAAGCTGTAGAGCTTGTTAAACGGTAAAGGCAGTATCTTCCATTCTTTCACCAAATGCCAAGAGATACAAAACGAAACTGAGGGTTTTTTTTGTTATTTCTTGTCCGAATGGAACAAAATTGCCAGATTTTTAGTATTTTTTATATTGCAGCATGTGATGGGCGGGATTATAAATTTATTGAAAAAAATTTCGAAAACACTTGATAAACTTTACAAACTATATTTTAATAAAAGTTGTTTACCAAAATGGACCCAAATTCGCAAGAATTTATGATATAAGACACAAATGGCGAACAAAAAAAGGAAGATAATATGGGAAGGAACAACTCTACTGTTCGGCGCAGTCCCTTTTAAGTCCTTGTTTTGTCCTATAATCTTTCCATTTTTAGAGTTCAATTTCACAAGCTCTGCCTTGGAGTTACCCTATGATTGAGTTTGAGGTATTTGTTGAAGTCTCTCTTTTAATAAAAAAAGTGAGGGAGACAAGGAAAATGAGAAAACGTAGGAGACTCAGAATGAGCCGCTCCAAAAGGCCTCAACTTTGATCAGCCATAACTTTCCGATTAGGAGGGTAGGGCCAAAAACACTGAAATCTGGCAAAAGGTTGTCGACCATGCTCTACACGATGTTATAATTTTTATTTAAAAATTTTCTACCACAGTTCGAGTGGTTCCCTTGTAAGAAGGTAATGCTCATTGATTAAAAGTTTCGCTGAAAAAAATTTTTTGAAAAAATTTTTTTTCAGCAAAAAAATTTCATTGAAACCTTTGGTCTCTCAAAAGTATCAACTAGAAATATGTAGGTATACCCCTCCTATTTTTTGTCACATTTCGTTCAGATCAAAAGGTAAAAAATTCTTTTTTATTCACATTTATTTAATAAATCAGTTTAATTTATGTCCATTATTTTATTAATAATTGTGTTTGTTTAATTTTTTATCGTCTTAGTTCAAAGATCTCCCTCCAATATTAGTTAGACCAACAAACCTCGAAGTAGAGTTGGTCGAGGTCGAGGCCTCGCCGAGGCCGAGGTCCTCGCCCATTCTCAAACCTTGACCTCGATTTTGCTGATCTCGGGCCTCGGAACCTCGTCTCAATCCTCGCCCAGAACCTCGCCGAGGATCGATGTCGACCAACCTCGACCTCTACCAACCTCGCTCGACCAACTCTACTTCAAACTAGAAACAAAAATTCAGAGCCGAAACATCCTCCACGCCTAAAAACATTTTTAATTCCTTCCCCAACCACCAAAATGATTAAACATCTAAATTATCACAAACAGACCCAAAAAAGCAAAAATAGTTTTTATGGCCGAGTCAAAAGTCACACTTTCCTTTTCACTTCCCCCTTTCCCCTCATGATTTTTTGTAACATTTCTGTTGAGATCAAAAGTTAAAAATTACTTTTTTTCCTTTTTTACGATTAAATTTTGTCCATTTTCATAAACAAGTGTGTGGTTGTTTGTTTAATTTTCTTAAATTTATTTTTTTAGAATGATCTTTAATGTCTTAAGATTGGTGGTAAATTTGGTTTTGAGAGAATCCTCCGATAAAAACATTGAAAAAATAAAGAAGAAAATAAATACAGGCTGTACATTTATTCGCAAAACACTTGTTATTAAAACCGGAAAACACAAAAATGAGAAAAGCTTAACTGAAAATATTTTCCGGAAAACACAAAAATCAGTAAAGCTAAACTGATAATACAATAATGTGTTTCTTTTCCGGAAAGAAACACCTCAGAATTTATAGGGGTAAAATTATTGTGTTTTTAAACTTTTTGTTGCTGTAAATTCCTTTTTTTGTTTCCGGAAAAGAAACACATTTCTATAGTTTCAGTTAAGTGTAAATTCTGATTTTTTGTATTTTCCGAAACAGTTAATTTACATAATTCTGGTTTTTATATTTTCTGGGATGTTTTGGTAAATTTAGTAAATTCTGGTTTTGTATTCTTCCGGAAAATCTTTTAGTTCTGGTTATATTTTAAATTCTGATTTTTTTCCGGAATACATATTTATTTAAGTAAGATTCTGATTTCTGTTTTTCGTCCGGAATTTATCCTTAGGAAAGTTTTAAATTTTATTAATTTCAGACTAAATACAAGAGAGAGTGAACTAATTCCCCTTTCTACTGTAGCCCCCCCCCTCCCCAAGAAAATTGCCATTTTTAATGTCAGAATCTCATCGTCTCCACATTTAATTTCCAATTTAGTCGCGATTATATGGGCCTTAATTTTATTTTTGCAAATTTTCTGCAAAAAATTGGACAGACATGTTGAACGACGATGTAGGAGGTAAAAATAGGCAAAAAAGAGACCAAAAATGAAACACTTTCACGTGATTTTTTTGTTGGAGGAGAGGGTAGTCCCCTTAACTTATTTTAAAGATTAGTATACTCACATTTTATAATGCAAAGTCAACAAACAAAGTTGTTAAAATGAAAAAAATTATGTTAAAAATAATATTATTTGTTAAAAAATTTTTTTTAGCAAATTGAGATCGACGAAAAATTAAAAAAGAAAAAAATTTTTCAAAAATAGTAAAACCTAAAGTTTGGAAAAAATAAATTTGGTACATTTTCTTGGGAATGGATAGGCAAATTTGGTTCGGAACCGACAACCCTACTCAGTATCCTATATAAAATACCTACCGTATTTCCTCTACAATAGCCCCTCACTCTAAAATAGCCCTCACTCTAAAATAACCTCCCCTTCTAAAATAGCCCCCCTCTAGAGGTCGATCGAAAAAATAACCCCCGGGGGGTAATCTTTATCTTAATTATATAATTAATGTATTTTAAATCCTAATGTTATGTTTTCTGGAAATTTCGTGTGGGTTCCTGTTTCTCCCTGGATTTTTAATTATTAATTTAGTCTAACTTTTTAAAACGAAAATGATTTTAAATAAACATGATTTTATTCAACCTTGTATAAACAAAAAATATTTAAATTTAATATTTTTTCGATAATTTCCTTTCTTCTAATTACAAAAAATTCTTTAATTTATCCAGTAGAATTAACTTGCATAGACTGAACCAATCCGGCACTCAAAGCCCCACTAGCAATTATTTTAGCAGATTGAACCAGATCAACAACTATAGGTCCTCCTACGCCTGTATTTATTGTTGGAGGTGTTGTTGC